ATCAGCACTGCTAGTGCTAGCATTAGAACTATCACAATCGCTCCAAATATCTTTTAAAATATCTTTTGGGTAAATCATATTCTGTACTACAATACGAACTTAGAAGTTGCGACTTCGGCGGTAATACCTAGTCATGAAGTTGATTGCTCCAACGAGGAACACACGCTTCTTGCCAAACTTGACACTTGACTGACTCGCGACCGCCATCCGGAGCACACGAGGAGCACGTCGCACCTTCCACTCGGCAAACCGGCTACAAGAAAGCACCACTCCCTGCTCAATACACAGTGTTTCGGGGAATTCACCCCTCATCAATTGAGGTTGAGTAGGCTGAGGAAGATTGTGCCTGAAAAGCAACAACTAGTCGCACGTCCTCTCTCACGCGGACGTGCGACGACGGACAAAGATGAGGAGCTTAATGTTAAACATGTCCTCCAGGGTGGTGAGGCGGAGCTGTTCAAAGATCGGGCTCGTGCGCGACCACGGTGGCAGACCGAAGAAGCCGCGGATAGCGCACTTCGTTAGACGTGTGAGGGGGTCCATGTTGCCAATTTGAAGTGACGGATAAAAGGCGTTGGAAGCGTACGACAACCTACCCTGGATCATCGACCTGTAAAACAGGATCTTTGACGCCAGGGTGAGGCTTCGGCGGCTCCGCCACAGCGCACCTACTGACTTCCGCACCTGCTGGATTGTGTGATTGACGTGAGGCTCCCAGGAGGGCTGCCCATCTACCATTACGCCCAGGTACCGCGCTTGTTCCACAACTGCAAGGGCTGCATTCCCACAGCGAATTCGAATGTTATCTGTGTCAGGGGCTGGGCCTCTTGGGGTAATCAACAGAGCTTGCGTTTTCTTTTGGTTCAGCATTAGCCCGCGGTCCTCCAACCACTGCGACAGGCCAGTGATGGCTGTGCTTAGAGAAGAGTACACTTGTTCGCAACTGCCCGAGGCTTCAATTGCAATGTCGTCTGCAAATTCCTGGTTTGTGACCTGCTGGGGCAAGCAGCATCGAAGGTTACGGATGTATAGTGTGAACAGGAGGGGGCCGAGGACGGATCCTTGCGGCACCCCTCGACTGCATGCGACGTATTCCGAGCAATTTCCGCCCACGACTACGCGTTGAAGCCGCTCACTCAGGTAACTAGTGAACCATATCTGGACAGTACCGCCGACCCCAATGTCGGATAGCTCCTGTGCCAAGATGGTGTGTTTGACACAGTCGAAAGCCTTCGACATATCCACGAATATCACACCTGTGAGTTTGCGCTCATACTTCGCTTTCAGCCAGCGATTGACAGCTAGCACAAGAGCGTCCTCCGTACTGTGGTTCTTCCTGTACGCGAACTGCGAGTCAGGGAGAATACTGTGATCGGTCAGAAAGGATGTAAGCTGAGCTTTGACGATCTTCTCGAGGAGGCGAGAAACGACTGGTAGTAGAGAAATAGGTCGATACGCAGTAGGCTGACAAGGGTCAAGGCCGCCACCTTTGAATAGCGGCGACACATTAGCAATTTTAAACTGACGGGGAACACACCCCTGACATAACGAAGTATTGAAAATGATGCTGAGCGAGGGAGCCAGTATTGATGCCGAGTTTCTAAGGACAATACCCGGCAAGTCATCATGTCCAGTTGCTTTTGACGCGTCAACGGACTGGAGAAGGGCCGTAATGTCCTCCGTCGAAACAGGCGCAAATTCCGTGAATGCTGGTGCTTCACGTTCGGCTGGTGCGTTGGCGCACAGCGCGTCTGGTCGTCCAGGGTCATGTACAACTTCGCCAAAAGTTCGGGAGAGGATTCCAACAGGTACTTGTGGTGGGCTTGAACTTTTCGCTCGTCCAGTCACCACGTTTATCGTATTCCAGAGCTTCCGTCCATCCTTTCCGGCCGACTGTAGGCGAGCTTGAAAATACTGATCCCTTAGCCTCCGATCTAGCTTGCGCGCGGCTGCGCGGAGAGTGCGGTGTTGCTCTCGCAGGTGGACATCGTTTGGAGAGCGTGAAAGAAGTCGGTGGGCCTTGTTTCGTTGACGCACAGCAGATACAAGTTCAGGACACAACCATGGGCAAGGTCGGCGCCTCGGCTTACGAGGAGGTTGTAAGGGGGCGTGACGATCTAGAGCAGTAAAAACCTTTGCGTACCATTCGCTTATCATTGCATCAACATCATTCGACTTGCTGAAAATCTCAAGATTGCAGTCCTGCAAGTCAGCGTTAAAATGCTCCCAATTTATCCTCCACACTCGCCTCTTTCGAGATGCGACTCGTTCGGACTGCCGGGTGGCGACGATAATGTTGGCCACAAATGCGTAGTGGTCGCTGATGTCACACTTGATGACCGTGCATGTTCCAACTAGAGAGTTAGGTGAAGGCGTTGTGAATGGCTATACTGGCTCTCAACGTCTGTTTAGCACAACTCCATGAGCGACTCTGACTTACGCTGCTTCCTGGGGCTTCACGAGGTGTTTGTCGCGCTGGAAACAAAGGGTCTCTGTAAGTTTGTATCCCTGGTGATGGTTTGGCCTGGAGAGCAGTATATAATTATAAGTGGTGCTTTTCAGGCACAATCTTCCTCAGCCTACTCAAGCTCAACTGATGAGGGGTGAATTCCCGGAAACACTGTGTATTGAGCAGGGTGTGGTGCTTTCTTGTAGCCGGTTTGCCGAGTGGAAGGTGCGACGTGCTCCTCGTGTGCTCCTGATGGCAGTCGTGAGTCAGTCAAGTAACAGAATGGAGAAGGTGTGTATGTCATGTATTTCTCGTTTTTACTCATCAACTCTTTTACCGACAGATGCGTTAGCCCCATGGGTGATATCACCCATGGGGTACATGCGAGCTGTTATTAATATTATTATTATTCTTAGGTGGCCTGCCGCGTTTGGGTCGCAGTGCCCGTGCCGAGCCAGTCAGCATGTGCAGTGGGACGTGCTGCTTGATACGTGCGTTCAGATGTTGAAGTTATTATTAATCGCTCCAAATAACTAGCAGTACTAGTGGCACAATTTCCACATAATTATAACTAACATTATCCGGCGGTGGCTAACCTGTGGGACAGCTGAAGGTTACGTTATAATGAATAGTTTTGTATAGATTCTAATCAGGAAAGTAAATCAGCACACGAAGCACAGAAGTCATATACAAGGAGGAGAACTTCCTTCTGCCAGCGGAGGACTATTACTACCGGTATTATAATGACTTGCTTGCTACCTTGTTAATCACCATTGTATTCGACTTGAAAAGTAATGGTACGAAGGGCCTAGTCGAAACGATAATATTATTATTATAGCTTCTGTGCATCGTGTGCTGAATGGATTTGGTCTGCAAACGTCTCTTATCCGGACTTGTATGTACGAAGATTTCGTCTGGGGATTTTGGATCGTTGTCTACAAAGGAAGTTTATCTTGTAGCCGATGTCGTACTAACGAGGGTAAACCGGTATACCATGGACATGGTGTACGCTTCGATTGACTCAGCCAGTGACCATGGTGACGCTGACCCTGCTGCTGATCCTGCCGCGCGCTGCAGTCTACGTAGAGACCATGATAGACCCCCCCCCCCCCCCCCCCAACCGATGTTGTTGCTGACGCTGCCACTGCCATTGCCATTGCTGCTCCAGGGCCGGGGACCGTCCACGTCGCCTCTTTCTTCTTGGTGGTGCAGACGTCTTTCCTGGTGTTTCTGAGAAGTGGGATCGCGAGTGCAACCACTGGCTTGCGCCTGCGCGTCCTCGATCCTTCCAGGCCAGGGCGGATGTAGCGGCCATTACCACCACAGAACCGCAGAAGAACATAGTACGTGTATAGCGACTTCGGCGCCAAAACTCAAAACAGCCGATGAGGACGACAATACTAATAATGATGACGACGATGATAAAGCACAGGACACCACCCCGAGGGCCGAGGAGCATACTCTTCCACGGACGGCCCCTAGGCGGCTGTGCCTGTGGACAGCGCTGATCCCCAAGCATGGGACATGCATGCTAACGGATACAATTCATGTACTTGCATCCAGGTGCTGAAGAGCAATCCCCCCCCCCCCCCCCCCCCCATATGCCGGCTCTTGCATTGACTATAATAATTTTTATTTGTATCGGCATTCGCGTAGACGATTTTACATTTGTTTTAGGTATACCAGTAGGACGGCCTTCTAAGTTCTAAGTTCACCATGCATGCACGCATCGTCGAGCAGTAGCTATGATTCCCCTATGAATACGCTTCATTCGGTCTAGTTGCTTGTATTTCACTTGATGAGAATGCACGGAAACTGGTTTATGAAATTTCTGGAGCCCTTGAGTCCTGATGTTGGCTGTAAAGAGCTAAAAATGCAGGAATCCCTAAACAAGGTTAAAACCAAGGCTGCCGCTTGGCCTATGGCTATGACTCTGTACTATGACTGTATGATTCTACTGTTAGTGTTGGCAGGAGTCCAGAAACATGTTTATGGACTCCTGGTGTTAGTGATATTCTGTACAATCGTCAATGTAGTACTATATTCACCACCTTTCACTGGTCCGCTCTCCACTTCTATTTGCCAATGTTGCTGTCGCTTTCTTGCATACTAGTACTTCGCACGTGGTCTGTTGAATTTTTTCATTCACTGACTTTGAAAGTTTGAGCATCTGATTAGTAGATTCTACGTCTGAAAGGCTGCCCCCGATGGACCCCTACAGATCTGTTGATGCGCGGTCAACATGGTCAAGACTCCAGGATTGACAGCACCTACGGACCACGCTGACGAAGGCTTGGTTTGTTTTGGACAACCCCACGTCCAGCGGAACAATTAATAACTGTTCATTGTAGGTTGGGGGCTGCTCTGTACTGTCAGACGTCGCATTCCGAGAATGAGCGAGGAGGCTAATACGCCTATGTGTTTGCACAATTGCAGGTATGAATGGCGACCATGATCTACTGCCTCCAAAAGCTTGGTGCAGTAGGATGTCGGCCGGCCAGGTGCACCGTGGTCACTGGCGAGTCGTAGACTCGTAGGCCTCACTCACTTATATCGATCACGGTGTGTGGTGATCTGTCTACAGCGGCCGGTTTAGTTTGAAAACATCTTCTAAGATTGCGCCCCGAGGCAATTCTACTACTGTATGCTGTGCGAGGATGAAAAGACAACATACACATGTGTATCGATACTAACTATCGTGTTTTGCATCCTTGAAACACATTATGTGTTTGTTGTAAAGTTGTAGGTGGCCAGAACATCTTCATTATAGTCGCTACAGCCGCAGGTACCACTACTGAATCTTTGAAACATTCGACGAGGCAGCAAAGAATAATCAACATGCGCGAGTACGAGTAGCAAAGAAACGAGCAGAAATCCGACGACCGACCAGTGTAGGAGATGTACTACTAGTAAGTACTTCAGTAGTAGTAGTAGTAGTAGTAGTAGTGGTAACTGCACGAATCCAGGAGACAATCTACCTTCAGACTCAGTTCATAGTCCATTGCCAAGCCAGGCGTCTCGCCGTTTCATTTTGAAGACAGGTGCAGCACCTGGGAAAGTCGGGGTCAAAAGCAGCCCGGGGAGTACTAAAAGCTTCTACCAGGCCTTGTGTAGGACCTGCGCTCAGTTGTCTAGGCTAGCCGCTAGCCTAAGCTAAGGGCAACTCTCTTCTGCTGCACTTTCAAAAGACGATCCGGAGGAGGGAAGCTTGTCGACTGTTGTCTTTGATTCCTTCACTTCGGCAGAGATGGGCACTCTTTGACGAATTCCCCGAAGCACAAGCTGGAGAATTGCTGTGAGTGAAACACTCATTGCTTCCTAGGTGGTTTGCAGGTATAGCCGAAAGAAGAACCGTGGCAGCTATTTCTCACCATCCGTCATCATGGCAGAGATGAGCAGCCAGGATATGCGTCTTGAATCCCTTCACCAAGACCATGGCCGGTCATCTCAATCATCACACATCGAGTTCCCAGACGACGAGGACTCTGAGGTCCCAGCCGATAGGAGCGGCGAAGAAGCTAAAACACAAGCTGGTGGTTCAAATACTGCCTACAGTGGCATGGCAGCCCAGCCGTCGAAGGTGCAAGAAACTAGCTCCTACATGTTGCAGCACATCGCTCGTGTCATTGGATGTGGAGTGTTCTGCGATTGCTGCTATAATGGCGACTTGGACCTGAACGGGACGGAACTGAACGATGGAGGTTGCTCAAAACCTGGTGTTCCAAGTGCTCTTGAATTCTTACTTGGAGATGTGACAGTTGCGCCGGAATTAAGGTAGGGCTTAGGGTTAGGCTTAGGCTTAGGCTTAGGGTTAGTAGGGCTTGTATACTGCTACCATGTGACTAGCATGTTTGAAGTAATACAAGTCATCACATGTGTTAAACATGCTGTATTGTACAGCAGCAAGCTACTCCCAGAGTAGAAGAGAGTCCGGTGCATGTAGAGAGAACGGTGCCTTGTCAGGGCTGTGCCTATGAATCGGAACAGGCTCTAGTTCACTTTTTGATGCGGTATTTTCATTCAAAGACGTTGTGCCTGTGAGGCCATGGTATCCTCTACTTGAGAGCATAGGTTCATGGGCCTTGCGATGACGAGATGTGCCGTACCAGACATGTGCTGCTTGCAATTTCAAAGGCTCTGTTCAATACTGAACTTTGGGTAAGATTTCCTATGACAGTCAACTTTGACGCAGCCAATCTGAAATGGTCACCACATCAAATGAAACACTACACATTCCCCAACAGGTAGCCACAGGCTGGAAATCCAGTCTGACAAGAACACACACACACACACACACACACACACACACACACACACACACACACACACACACACACACACACACACACACACACACACACACATACACATAGAAGCACCAATCTTGCGCTAAGGCTGAGATTTCTGGCATCTGTTGCTTTGCCACCATTTCTCCTCAGTTTTGCAATGCAGCTGCTTCTTCTGCTAGCAGATAAAAGTGGTACCGCTTTTATCTGCTGATGATACCACTGTTGATACCACTGTTAACCAATGAGTCTACGAATGACACAGGCCTGTCGGGTGCCACACGTTTACTGTAGAAGGGACGTCGCTTATTAGGAAAAGTTTGACAGCCAAACTGTCAACTGTCATTGTGTACTTTTAATAAGCGCAATGAAAAGATCAAGGTTGTGCCGGGCATATAACCACATGACATAACTATTTCATTCTTCCCAAGCTTTACGAATACCCCCAAAATTAATAATATACTCTATTGTAACCTAGTCCATGTTGCATTACTAATCTTCTCCCTACCTCCTGTATCATTTCCCATCCGGCGTGTGCACAAACCCTTTCCGGTTCCTCTCCTCTCTTATTCTGTCTATGTGTATGTCTGTCTGTTTGTCTGTCTGTCTGTCTGTCTGTCTGTCTGTCTGTCTGTCTGTCTGTCTGTCTGTCTGTCTGTCTGTCTGTCTGTCTGTCTGTCTGTCTGTCTGTCTGTCTGTCTGTCTGTCTGTCTGTCTGTCTGTCTGTCTGTCTGTCTGTCTGTCTGTCTGTCTGTCTGTCTGCCGGCCCACAACCCGATGCACAAAATAAACAACACTGTACAGAGAACGTCCAGCAAAGGCCAAGGCAGTGATGCAGGGCATGCTGCGTCGTGGAAATGCTCCTAGTCACTTGATGGACGCCAGTTGTACATGGAGTAATGAGGAATTGGAGGCAAAGGTGGAGTATGGCTGTCGAAAACTAACGGCCTTTCAGTTTTCAATCATGAGGAACAGGAAAGATGTGGCTGAGAAAGTTCTTTCAAAGGTTCCAGAAGCTAGGCGGAAGGCATACTTGACACAACAGCTGAGAGCTATTGAATGTGACTGTAGTCTGTACGAAGGTAAGGGGCTGAGCACATTACACTCTTCTGGCCAGTACTCTAGAAGGCACTCAGTGCACATGTTTGTTAGCAAAATATTTCGTTAGAAGTAAAGATTAAAATTTCAAAAAGAAGAAAAGAGGACTAAAGAGCTACAAGTTATGCTATAATGTCCACTCACACTACCATTTACATTTACATTTACATTTACATTTACAACTCGGATGTTGAGCCATAAATAAATGTGGAAGAGAAAAGGACATATGGATACGAGTTAAGAGTAACTCTCCATCACTGTTGCACTTTCTGACTGTATATAGTATCATGTTACAGTGATGGAGAGTTACTCTTAACTCGTATCCATATGTCCTTTTCTCTTCCACATTTACATTTACATTTACATTTACATTTACTTTCAATCAGCTCATGCGATAACACTGCACGACACTGAACAACAGTACTGACGTTCTACACCTAACTGGCAATCAGCTCTAGCACATCTTGGAGTTCGGTGTAGAACGTCAGTACCGTTGGTCAGTGTCGTGCAATGTCATCGCAGGAGCTGATTGAAAGTGACTGGTGATGTTAGTGGACATTATAGCGTAATTTGTAGCTCTTTGGTCCTCTTTTCTTCTTATAAATAATTTATTAATCCTTGCCTCTCCACCCAAGTCTAATTTCAAAAGGACTTTATCTTTTTTTTTAAAGGATTGCGAGAACTTCAAATTTCAAAGGAGCAGCTGGGGAAGTGAACTGCCTGAAAAGAGGGGAAATGCCAGACCCACCAGGACCGTCGAACCCGGGACCTTGCTTGTCATGAGCAATGCTCTAACCATCTGAGCTAAGGGACCAGGCCGAACCTAAAAGGCGCTGACCAAGTGCCATCAGCATGCGTGGCACGTGTTGTGCGCTGCCTTTGGAGTGAAAAACTTGTCAGCGCCTTCTAGGTTCTTCCTGGTCACATAGCTCAGATGGTTAGAGCATTGCTCAAGACTTCATTTGTGTGAATTTAACAAGCAGAGACGAACACTTTGCCGAAAGTGATGTGTCTACAGTTTGGCACAGATTTTTCAGTAGTTAATTGAAATGGTTGAAAGCTTGTGTTTGTACAGTATGTGAGGTACGAGAATCTGAACAGATGGGATGCAGTACATGATGTCCGCGTTATCACTGTGATTCATCATCATCATCATCATTAGAATGATATCCCTGGGTAAGAGGCCCATCTTTGAAGAAGCCGCTGAATATTATATGGTGCTTCTCAGCCTGTTCTGCTTTCATGCGTTGTTGGAATGGCAGGCGAGACCATCATCCACTTTGCAGTCATGCATGCTGCACAGCAGTATTCGGCTGCCAAAGACACCGACCTGAACCAGAAAATCGACGAGAACACGACACTGCGGTATCTGCTGGAGCTGCTGCCGGAGGCAGAGCGTGGGGAAGTGTTGCGCCGGCAGGCCAGCGGTCTCTTCTACACCAGGGGAAGAATTCCCAGTGTAAGTGGCAGATACAGTGTGCAAACACTGGGGGAAGAATTCACCGTGCAAGTGGCAGATACAGTGTGGAAACACTTTGTACACTCAACTTTGCTTTTAAAGAACTTCAGATTGGGGTGTACGAAAGTTAAATTCCAGTTTGTGGATTTAAAAAAACCGTCCCCTGTGTCTCTCTCCCTGTCTCCTTCCGGCCCTCATTGTCGTGATTCTTAGCGTACTAGTGCAGTAAGGACAAGGTGAGGGATACATGTAGAGCTCTGCTGGATGATGCATTCAGTGTGGTGGTTGTGCTGCTGCTGCTGCTTCTGCTATCTGCAACAGGTCTTGACATTCATTGATCTGAAGCGCAACTTCCTGAATGCTGGAGCGACACCGCTTGCACTTGCAGTCAGCATGCAGAGTCGGCGTGTTGTCAACTACATGCTGGAGATAGACTATAGTCTGCTGCATCATCTTGATATCCAGGTCAGTGGTAGGGTGTTGACAGGATATTGCCACTGAAGAACTATTTCAGTGGACCAAATGCAGCCGCTGAAAATTCCAACACGCAGCTACTAGTGCTTTGCCTTTGAAACTAGCTATTGTTGCTCATCGGAATCTAGCCAGTCGCGAATCAGTTAGCTAGGAGTCATTGCTCAGTGTAGCCCTGCGGACACTATTCAATGCTGACTATTGGCTATTGGCACGGCTGCAAGGTGATGCCTTATGCAGGGTGCTGGATTTCATTGAGCCACACTGTGTATGTGATCTGATAGTGTCTTTTTATTTTTCCTCTTTCGCTCTTGCTGACGTCTGATTGCACGCAGAACAACAATGTTCTCCACCGACTCGCTGCCCAGATGAAGCGGCATAAGCACGATGAGTTCGTAGACGGAATGCGTCTTCAGGAAATGTTCAAGTTCCTGATGAAAAGAGAGGAAATGTTCTACCCGGACAACCGTCAATTGCTTGTGCAACGCAACATCCATGGCTACAGGCCAATACACGTCGCCACAAAGAATGGCAATGTCGCGGTAAATCATTCAAGTTCTTCCTCTATCTCCCAGTTTGTAGACCATTTCTAATCTTCCATTAATCATCTTCCTACAAGTACCTTTTCATCCATTCACCCATGCTTGTACACTACTTGCCAAGAGATTGATTAACATCTCCACCACACATTAACATCTCCACCACACATTAACATCTCCACCACACATTAACATCTCCACCACACATTAACATCTCCACCACACATTAACATCTCCACCACACATTAACATCCCCACCACACATTAACATCTCCACCACACATTAACATCTCCACCACACATTAACATCTCCACCACACATCAACATCTCCACCACACATTAACATCTCCACCACACATTAACATCTCCACCACACATTAACATCTCCACCACACATTAACATCTCCACCACACATTAACATCTCCACCACACATTAACATCTCCACCACACATTAACATCTCCACCACACATTAACATCTCCACCACACATTAACATCTCCACCACACATTAACATCTCCACCACACATTAACATCTCCACCACACATTAACATCTCCACCACACATTAACATCTCCACCACACATTAACATCTCCACCACACATTAACATCTCCACCACACATTAACATCTCCACCACACATGACTGCAGTACATGCGTATCGTCACAAGAAAAGTGCCTCTTATTATTATTATTATTATTATTATTATTATTATTATTATTATTATTATTATTAAAAGCATGTCCGCGTAGGTGGCGGGGGTGCCACTTTCGCTTATGCCATTCAGGATTGATGTCTGAAGAGTAATACGATACAATACAATAAAATGACAGAAGTGACGTCAACAAAAGCCGTTAGCAACAACACCAATATGACTAATGGAAAACTTCATCCAAAGTATAAAATAAAATAGAATATGCATACAACATGTCTGGTCAGTCCTGTTAGGTGGGGCGGGCTCCATGCCATGCCTGTCGGTCCGCTGCCATTGTGCGGACTGCGTCAACATCTAGCGGCTGGTGGAGGGTAAGTCCATGCCATGATAACAGTTCCGTCTGCAAGACCGTTACCAAAGTCGTCCGAGGTCGACCCCTGAAGCGTTCAGTGCCCTCGTCGTTGGCCAGGCGAAGATACATATCCACTGCCAACTGTGGAGGAGCAGTTGGGGCCAAGCGAAAGATATGGCCAGCGAGACTGTAGCGCTGCCTTGTGATCATCTCGCTGATGGGGACAGCTCCGCAGCGCTTATACAGAGTGTCATTGCTAATTCGTTTAGGGTACCGCATGTCGATGATGCTCCTTAGCTGGGTCCTGTGGAACGAATCCATTCGCGCGAGCTCCGACATCGGTAGGCCCCAAGTGCCGCAGTTGTAGGTAAGGACTGGGATGACGTAGGCGCTGTAGAGCCTCAGCCGAAGACCTTCACTGATCTGGCGCCTCCGGGTCCAGATCTTGAGGAGTGAGTTGAAGGCGGCGGCGGCCAGTTGACGCCTCCGAGCAGCATCTTCGGCGTCACCCAGGAGGGAGCCTAGTTTGCGGACAGTACGCCACGTTTCTTGGTTCCTATCGGGAAATCGAGCGACGGTGGTATGCTCTGTCTTGGAGGGATTAACGTTCAGGTTCCATCTCGCAAGAACTGCTGGGGCTTGTTGTTCAACTTCACTGAGAAACGTCTCATCCCGGCTCACAAAATCAACATCGTCCGCGTATGCGATATCCAACGGCAGGTCATTGTCCACAGCAGGGCGAGATGGCAGCTCCTGTCGTAGGTCCCGGAGAGCAGCCTCCAGGTAAATGGTGAAAAGCACTGGAGAGAGACTGTCCCCTTGAGGGACTCCGATATTTGTCTTGAAGGAGCTTTTCGATGCACCTTTCACACGAGGTTCAAGCCAGGTTTCAGTCAACAGTATACGGATCATTCGGAGCTCACTTTCTTGGAGGAAGGATTCAAGGGTCTTCATCAGGACATCGCGGCGAACAGTGTCGAATGCTTTACTCATGTCAATTCCCAATATGTGGATGGACGTATTGAATCGCTGCGTCATACTACATAGCCATCTATGGCACCACACCACATCACTTGTGCTGCGGCCACGACGAAAAAGCACTTTGGGATGTAGCCAGGTACTGATCAACCGCTGGCTGTATCCTCTTCAGCACAATCAGGGACAGCGTCTTTCTCAACGCCGAGAGCAGTACGATAGGGCGCGTACTAGTAAGCGGCCCTAGTGGTTTACCAGGCTTCTGCAGCAGTATTAGGGTTCCTCTGCCAACTTCGAGTGGGTCATGTGTCTCAATAGCTCGGTTCAAGATGTTGGAAGTCATCTCAGCGACAATGGGAGGACTGTACTTGAGTAACTCTCCGGAGAGATGGTCAGGGCCTGCCGCTCTCCCGTTTTTCAGGCTTTGGAAGGCCCTCCTAACTTCGGCCGATGTGATTCGATTGGGGAGAGGGCTGGGATCACCTAGGAATTGTGGAATGTCAGGGAGGGATTTATCATGGAATTGGCTTTCATAATGTTTGATGATGAACGCCTGCTGGTCTGCAGGGTTGATAACGACCCGCTGCTTCTCATCATGAATAATAGGCTGGCTGTACGGTTTTCGCTTCAGTAGCTGGACAGCACGGAACATCTTTGCCCCACTATCATGCAGTCGTTCCACTTCCTCTGCTTGACGATCCAAGGCTCTCTTGGCATTGTCAGATGCGATATCACGAATTTCACGCATTGTGCGATTTCTTTGATTTTTTAGTGACTGTCTTTTCTGGTCATCCCTGCACTCTCCAATCGCCAGGCGAAGATCTTTCTGCTTGCGTGACAGCAACTCAATTTCAGGGGAGAAGTCATGGCGGTGATGTTGTCTCTGCTGAGTGCCGGCCGAATCCAGTGCTGATTTGCTGAGGACTTCAGATAAGGATTCCCAGACTGCTTGGGTGCTGTTGGCTTCTGATGACACGCTGCACTGGACCTGGGTCTCCACAGTTCTCTTGTAGGATTCCCGAATTGCGACATCTGAAGCAAGCTTTCCAGTGTCAGGGCGGATGTTGCCGGCAGTGGTCTTGCGTTGGTGCATACCCAGAACACCATAGAATCTCGACATGTCCAGTCTCGCCACAACTAGGCGATGGTCGGAGAATACATATGTTCCCGCATACGACCTTGCGTCTGTTAGAAGGGGACTCTGGTTCTGACGGCAGCAGATGTAATCTATCATATTGTAAACAGGAACACCGGAATTGTCACGGCAAGGGCCTTGCCACGTTGTTTTATGTCTAGCGCTGTGCTGAAATGCTGTGTTGCCAGCGAACAGGTTGTGAGCTTCAAGGAAACTAGCAAAAACTCCACCACTCAAGTTTCGTTGACCGCGGCCATGGCGTCCAAGAAAGGACTCGCCACTTTTGCGTATCCCTAGCTTCGAGTTGAAGTCACCAGCTACGAACAATAATCCACTGGAAGCGTAGTCGGTCACAGCGTTCGCCAAACTGTCAAAGAACTCACTTTGTTCATCCGGGCTTGCCCGCAGCCGTTCTGTTGTTGGACCGTAGGCGTTGATGACCGTCAACGATGATTTTTTGCTATTGGGAAATTTGAATTGAATACCGGCTGCTCTGTCAGAAATACGCCAATACCGGCTCATACAGTCCTTGAGGGCGCCTCTAACGGCAAAGCCCATACCGTAATGCCTGCACTCTGACGGCAGGCAGATGATTCTCGTTCCGTTGCCCAGCGTTTCATCAAAATAATTTACTATTTTCGTTTCTTGAAGACAACAAACATCGACTCGGTACCCCGCGATATCCCGAGCAAGCTGCTCCCGCTTCACCTGACTAGAAATACCTCTAACGTTGAAACTTCCTATTGATATATTCTTTAGACCAGTCCTGAATGAAGAAGACATTCTCCTTTCGCGAGAGAGCGGAGTCACCCAACTCAACCTACCTTCATCCAGGTCAAAAATTGCCTCTTACTTATAAATTATCATGATGTTAACAGTATTGTAGTAGCTGGTCCCGTCCAGTGTCTCGGGGGGGGGGGGGGAGGGGTAGGTTCGAATCCCACCGCTGCCACCAATGTAGTAGCTGGCCCCGGAGGTTGTCACACTCAAAGCACTCACTCAGTTAGTTTACCAATAATTGTCAATTTTTAAAATCTTGTAGGACACATCACGCAGCTTCATAAGTAAGAATTGGCGTGTCAGCAACACTGGCTCACACTCAATCACTGCTTTTCACAAATTCACTTCAGGAAAAAATTCAACGTTTCGGGCATAAAATAACCATCATCAGGAATGAAGTGGTCACACTGGTTAGGATGGGTTAATAAATCAGGAGCTCTGCAGTCGGTAGTCGGTAGTGCTCGCCAAGGGCTTTTCTAGACGTCTTTTTGCTTGAATTGTCACTGGTGGTTTCAGGATCAAAATCGCAAGTTCTTGTCAGTGCCGTTTTTGTTGAGTTGTGATAGTAGTTTACAGGAAACATTAGGCTCTGCTTTTCTTGTTTTGTTTTTAATGCTGGATGAGCAAATGCATTTATTAATGTACCAGCATTGAAAAAATAGTGCCCTCTCTTGAACAGTGCCCTATCTGTGATGGACATTGAAAAAAAATAGTGTCGCAGGGGCACTGATCGCGCGAGTACGGTACTTTTTTTTTGAAGAAATGAAATAGGGAGGGGTAAGCAGCAGCATTCGGCCTTATCCAGATCATTATCGGTGTGGTGTGGTGTGGTGTGATGTGGTGGTTGATAATACATGAAATAGGGTTCATTCATTTGCTACCGGCATGCACTGCAATTTTTCAACTCGTGATATTTGTTGCTGCATTTTGCCAACTAGATGTTCGAGGCTATCGTCTCATCGCCTTTAGTGCGCACCGAGCTTGTGGATTATGACACAATGAAGCTGGTCGCGTATAACTTGGAGGATTTGGATACGGTGACAGAGAGAGAGGATGGTTACCACGTGATCAATGTGCTCGACATTGCTGTAGCCAGTCGCGCAGAGGAGGTACATTATGTGTGACTAACATGCACATGTCAAGATAGCCTTGTGGGAGTTACCGCGTGCGTTCTATTCCGCTCAACCCAAGTGACACTTTTCCCCCATTTGAAACCCTACCATAGTTTGTAGATGTGCATGGTTTTCTAGGCATGTTCGAGGGTACACTCCCTTCACTGCTGGGTTAGTAGGACGAGAGATAGCGAGGAGTGACCTGCGATTACATGTTCAGTCTTGTGCATGTACATGTGGCTGTAGTGCATTCGTGGGGTATGCACTTATCTATCAGGAGACCTGTCAGAATCAATGACTACCTGTTTGTGCACTAATGTAGTACCGTATTTTCCGGAGTATAGTGCGCACCTTTGTATAACGCGCACCCCCAATCTTCATTGGGGGTGCGCACTTCAATCTTCATTGACTTCAATCTTCATTGAAGTACATGCATTTCACATTCGAAGCATAGTGCGCACCTGCGATGTAGGGCCTAAAATAGCGCATCTAAAGTGCGCACTATACTCCGGAAAATACGATACATACCTCCTTTCTTCAAATTGCAACTCCCATTTTTTGTGTTCGGACATGTATGGGTGTGTATGGATGTGTGTGGATGTGTATGGCTGTGTATGCATACGACTACAGGCCCTCGAGATCTTTCAGGAGACACCAATGGCCCAGTTAATTGACATCAAGTGGCAGACCTATGGAACGGTGGGCTTCACATACTTCTTCCTGATCAACGCGGTGTACCTGATTGCACTCTCGTGTGCTGTCCACTACCGACCTCTGATGTACTCGGTGTGCTCCGCGGACATTGATCCCGAGCGGGAGAGGTTTGTGCGCAACGGAACCTTGCCCGACGGCGAAGTCGTCAATTTCTGCACGCCGTGGATCATCAAACCATTTCGGGTAGGGGACGGCTGTCCACACATTCTAGTACTAGGAGGTTATGTGGGTACTGACAGGTGTCCGTTCTCATGTTGTCTTCCTTGCTTTCTTGCAGGAGTCATACCGCACTACTGGAGACTACTGGCGTCTGTTTGCCGAAATCGTCGTGATTCTTTTAACTTTGCTCCACTTCTTTTCCGAGGTGAGTACATATCTCTACGTGAAGATAGCCATCTCCTCCTGCAACTTGAATTGCTGCTCCAGAGCACTCACGCTGTGAGCATAACCCTCTCTATCTCTCTATCTCATGCTGAAGTGCGGGTCACAGTGTGATTGTGCATAGCTGGTGTTCTTTTGTGATGCGCTGCAGGTGCGTGACTTCTTTGTTGTCGCCAACATGTGTCCACCGCACAATGACAACCCTCCAGGGCGCACTCGTAGGCTGATGTACAGCTTCGGTCGACTGTGGGACGGGTCAATGGGCCGATCAGGCGCGTTCTCATTGATAAAGTAATCTATTCTCATTGTACTCTGCACGTGCAGTGTCTAGGACAATTTTAAAATTACTTGCCGCAATGCGAGTTCAGTACCTGTCATTACAGTCTCCACATCACTGGGTGCCTAACTGAGTGGTCCTCTGATAAGACGTATTCCCATGGGGAGTGTGTCTTAGTACCCATGGGGAACAGGTCATAGTACCCCATGAGAACCAGGTCACTCAGTTCCCCATTGGGAGCATATCTGAGTAGTATCCTCATGAGAAAGAGGACTTAGTACACATAGGGATTGAGCAAGTCTTAGTCACCCCGTGGGGAGCAGGTCTTAGTCACCCCGTGGGGAGCAGGTGTTTGTAGTACCCACAGGGGGGGGGGGGGGGGAGCAGGCCGTAGCACCCCATGAGGAGCAGGTCTTAGTACCCCCACGAGAAGAAGGCCTCGATCATAAAATACGTGTTCTCCTAATGTTATTTGATACGGAGGAAATTCATTCTGGTAAAATAAGATTGCTAAAGAGCTGCACCTTGTATCACCGGGTAGCACAGTTGGCTGCACTATGCACAGCAATACACATACTAGTACTAGTAGCTGCTAAGCACTGTACACAACATTGTACATCGCACTGTACACAGCCAGCACAAGGACCTTGAATTTGCCAGTTGGCTGGGTACCAGAAGCTGCAGGTTGATTTCAGGTGAAGAGATGGTTGAATATCACTCTGCTATGCAGACAGCTCTGCTTGTCCAATGAAAAGGTGCGATTGGATGTCTTCACTCCTCTCTCTCTCTCTCTCTCTCTCTCTCTCTCTCTCTCTCTCTCTCTCTCTCTCTCTCTCTCTCTCTCTCTCTCTCTCTCTCTCTCTCTCTCTCTCTCTCTCTCTCTCTCTCTCTCTCTCTCTCTCTCTCTCTCTCTCTCTCTCTCTCTCTCTCTCTCTCTCTCTCTCTCTCTCTCTCTCCCAACATGCCGTCATACATACACAGAAGCCAAAGAGTGAAACTTTGGGAATCATATCGACAATATATAAAATGTCCAACGCCGACTTAGACATTTGTTGTAAAAGCAAAAAAAGGACCAAGGAGCTACATGTGACGCTATAATAGTTCCTTGATCCTTTTTTTGCTATTAATAAATCCTTAGCTCTCCATCCGAGTCCACATTTGTTGTAGTGTACTTTATAGGATTGGAGAAAGGATTACAGAATGGTTGCTGTTACTATTCTCGAGTTTCGCCGTGTTTATCCTTGGTATATTCGCCTCGGCTTATTGCAGGTGGCTAACAATCATCCTTGCAGCGGCAGCTGTTGGAATGCGAGTAACCGACTCCGAGTCTCAGGACATTATCTTGTCATTGCTGATATATGTGGCGTACCTATACACCACTGTGTTTGCACGCGACTTCAAGTTCAGTGGCCCCTACCTAATTGCCATGTACAAGGTAAGTTCCACACCGCTCCACTGATATCAGTATACATGTACTTGACAAGCACATTTTGCAACGTCCGGTTGAAAATTTCGTCCATGGACAATTACAATTTACAATGTCCAGAAAAGCTGGACAAATCGACTTGAGCTCGGCATTTAATTTAGCGAGAGCTCCTTAGAAGAAAAAGACGAATATACTTTCTCGACGAATGTTTCTGCTTATACCGTAAGGTCCGTTGCAAATGCCCACCCCATTTTTGCAAGATCTGCCGGCCTGTACACTCTGACCCCATGCACTATCACCGCTACCGTAGATCTACGAAAGTGCACCTCACCCCGTCGCGTGAAGAGCACTTGGCACTAGCCACGAGCTAGCTCGTAGTGATGGTGATGATGATGCTGGCCGCTGTTTTATTTCGCAAATCCAAACGGGAGCTTCTTCCGAATAACAAGGTAGCGAAGAACATAGCATTGCAGGAACCAAATACACTTGTAACGGTGTTTCAATCCATCATTCAAATACACTTCTGACGGTGTTTCAAGCCATCATTTCCAAATCACACAACGCACAAAGACAAGAGTTTTTTCTCGAGCACTTCAGAGTTTTCAACTAGTTAGCAGCGGCTTTGTGGCTGTAGCTTCTGCGTCATTCTCCTTGTTCTCCTTGAACTGCAGTGCTGTACTGCAACCAGGTCAGTCTCGAGTGACGCTTCATCAGAACCATCCGGCATATCCTATCTTCGGTGAATCACCGTTGCGTTCAGACAGGGTCAGATCGTGGCGCTGCAGAAATTTGATGACCTGAAAAAGACGAATAGTATGGACCCGCTGGGGTGGGCGTGTGCAGCGGACTTTACGGTACAGTGCAATCTACTACGGATCCCAAACAGTCAAGCCGTTAATCACACACAATCAAGATCTGCATCTTAGGATCGACCAAGAATTTGCTAGAATGTTGCTCACGTATGATGGTGATGGCGTGCAGAAGCAGAGGGCATGCCATTGGTGTATGTTTTATAATGGTAGCCTAAAGAAATATGTTGGCACGTTCAGCGAGCTCAATGGTAATGTGTATGCATTCATTTGTGTGTGTGTGTGTGTGTGTGTGTGTGTGTGTGTGTGTGTGTGTGTGTGTGTGTGTGTGTGTGTTGGTTCCAGGGTTCATATACTTTCTATTTGAAGTATACATACCTGTCAACCATGGACTGCTTCTGGCTAGATTAACTCTTGTGTAATCAATGGTGCTAGTAAAGCTTTTATCAGATCCACTCTGATTTAGCCACTCACACTAGTAGCAAGTATTACCTTCACTGGGGGCAGGGGTAACTGCAGTTGGATCCCGGGACGGATACCCTGATGCCGTCAATCCTTTTTCTGCACCTTGTCCTCACCCACTTACTGAGGTGTGGTGAGCCCATAAGTGGGGTCATTTTCAAGTCCACCCAGAGTTTTGGGGATTTCAGGGGGTGTTGGTCGTTGGGCGGTTCAATAACCAATTGAGTCATCTTTCCAAGATTCCTTTTGAGTCTCTCTCCCCTCTCCCGGGGGGACTCACGTGACCAGTTTTGGTAGTGAGCAACAAGTACAGTGTGTGTGTGTGTGTGTGTGTGTGTGTGTGTATGTGTGTGTGTGTGTGTGTGTGTGTGTGTGTGTGTGTGTGTGTGTGTGTGTGTGCGTGTGTGTGTGTGCGTGTGTGTGCATGTGTTCATGTTCGTGTGCCTATGTGTGCCAATATTCCCGTTCATGTTTATTTCAGATACTTACCACGATCATAACACGGTTTATCATACTCTACTTGTTCACCCTGATGTCATTCGGGTCGTGTAAGTGACATACCCAATGCGGTATATGCACTGTTAATGGCTTATGAATGCCAGTGTCCAAACCTTAGTTTGAAGAAGTCTCTGCCTGTCAAGTGTAATTACTGTAGTGGAGCAGCATGAATCCATCACAACTCAGGGTTGGTTCAAAATATTGGAGTCTTATGAAATAATCAGTGTAGTAGTGTTGTACTGTATATAGCCATTGTAGCTTAGGGATTGTGCATGTAGCTCAAGGTTGGTTCAAATGAAGCAAATCATAGCCGGAGCCAGGAGGCCCTAGCAGTGGGCCAGCTCCGGTTTGGCTTTGTTGCCAAAGGAGATCACGTGCATACGAATAATACTAGCAAAATTAATATGAACCTGGATCAGCAAAAACCATTACATGTCATGTGTGGACGGAAAATTTATCAAACATCTATTTTTGTTCCAAATTGACCCACAACTACTAAAATCCAGTCTCAAGAAATTTTAGAATTTAGATCCATCACACCACCATATACGTGGGTAAAAATGTGGTACACTACTCGTACATCTCTGTACACATGTTGACAGTTGCATTTCTGTGTAAGATACGAGCGGCGCTGGTATGTGCCTGATCCAGCTTAACCATGCCATTACTCAGCTGGCTAACAAGGAGGAATACTATAGTCCTTGCGTAGCTGTGTGTGTGTGTATGTGTGTGTGTGTGTGTGTGTGTGTGTGTGCGTGCGTGCGTGTGTGTTTAATGGGCCATGCATGCGTATGTATGTGCCTGTCTACTGTGTGCAGTTCTTTATGTGCTGTTTCAAGAAGCTCAACCGGAGCCACCGGAACACTTTTCATCGTACGGCACAATACTGTTGAATCTCTACAGTGCCACGCTAGGCTTGCATAGCTTTGAGTACAAAGTCATTCGATCGCCTCACGTCGCGGCTCTGGTGACCATCTTCCTCTTCCTCTTCTTCCTCTTCACCGTTATTCTCTTCCTCAATTTCCTCATCGCTCTCATGAGTGACATTCAGGCAGGGACACTGGAGAGTGCAAAGCTTATCTGGCGCAGGCAGGTCAGTATGCACCGTACGTCCACTGCTTGAGTGGCTGTGCCATACTTCTAGGACTTTGTAGGGAGAATGTCCACCGTTCGAAGTTGGAACCCCCCCCCCCCCACCCCCCCCCCCCCCCCCACATTCTCTCCCTGTGGTGAAACGGTTCATTTTCACCCATTGCCTTAGCTGCAGAGTGACTACAGGGGCATAGCAGCCGGTCCGGCCAGTCCGGTCTTTGGCCAGACCACTCACGGTTTCACCCGACCACGGCCAAAAGTGCCCAGAATGCAGGATTTTGCACCCTAATTTCAAATTTTTCACGGGGAGACCCCTGGACCCTCTCCTGCCGGACCACCTCTAACGGCGGTGTGCTACGCGCCTGGACTATCTTGTAACATGTACATAAAAACTTTGCCGTTCACTGTCTAAGCAATGTTTGACCGCCAGAACGGGTGTGAATTAGAAATGTGGGGATCCGAGGTTTATTAAAGCGATGAATTTTACCAGCGAGTGTGTCCCATGAAAATCGATTGGGATATTCCTTGAATCTCTGGCCATAAGCGAGGGTCCCTGGTTTGAGTTCTCGCGGTGGCAGTCAATTTTTTCTTCAAGACTTTTCCATTTTCAACTCCCTCAGCAGCAGACAATTTCTTCATTCATTACATTATTTTGTTACCCGGTACTTCAACGTTCAATATACGCCTCGTTCATGCTATTCATTGGTGTAAGAAAAATGGGTATGGCCTTTGAACCATGCTTCACCTGTAAAATGTACACTGTATCAGTATGGTCAGAAGATACCGTGGCGAACTGCTACTCCAAAGCAGTTGCAATCAAACACTGCGCAATCAGTCATTCTACTTCACGTAGCATATTTTCACAGGTGAATGGTAACAATTACATGCCCGGAGGTCTATAATTTTAGCTCCAGTTTTGCCTTTGGAGGACATTTGAAAGGGTAAGATCACAAGTATGGTGGAGGCACACTTTGCAGCCACACTGATTCCTCAGGTCAGTGACTCGACTGCTTCGGTACGCAGTACTGAGATGGCCATACCGGCGATAGCCAAGACCGTTTCCCGCCCTGATTGCTCGACAGTGTCGAATACTACCTTTCCGGGTTGCTGGCTGCTCCTTGTGGCTGTAGGTGGTTGCGAGTTTGTTCATGGTGGAAAGAAGGCTGCCAAGTTGGCTCCCATTCTACTCCCTTGTCAAGCAGAAAGTTGGCCTTCGAGGTGGCAGAGTGTTGCTGGATCAGGTGAAAGTGGATCCGGGACCGAATGGCAAAGAGCGAGAACTCCGGTAAGTGGTATGGAGGCCAGAGTGAGCTCCATCACCCTAGTGATCACCGGGGTCATGCCAATGCATTGATTCAAACTACAGGGTATCATTCTGCCAAACAGTACAGTATTACATTGCCAGACATGCCTAGCTATTGTGATGCTGGTTTTAGAGTTGGCAGTAAGACGTGGAGTTTGACATTTTGGTTTGTCATATTTGCCAAGTTCTATGTCCGAAGAAGTTGAAAATGAGCACCTTCCTCAAATGGTTCAAGGGGTCCATATGTACCACTGTGAATTATCATACCCATTATGCATATAGAAGAAGGTGAGCAGCAGAATGCGGTTGCTTAAAATTCACTGTAAATTGACTTTCCGTGCACACCGCCATTGTGCTCTGCGGCCGACCACACGAACTTCCCACAACAGCAAGAGGTTCTGAGTACTGAATCCTCTCTGACAGCTGTTTCTGTCCGTGCGACCTCCGATGATCAGAGAAGGTCGAATTGTATGATGCAGATGTGTAATCGATTGCTCATGTCCATCACGTTATGCACTGTGGTGTAGGTATGTTGACAAAGGCTTGCAGATAGCACTGACAAAACAAGAAAAGAGTACTGAAGTATGTGCAACTTGGTGATCCTTGGCCATGGCAAACGTTTTGAGGCACCAATCTTCCGCGGCCATTTTGGCTCACCGATGCCGACATCTGTAGGCAAATACCAACATGAAAGAGAATTGGACGTTTCGGCAAATTGCCATTATCAGGATGCAATAGTGCAATTTGCAGTGCCCAGGGAATGAGCATGTGTGCTCACCACTTCTCCTTGAGTTATGAAGCTGCAGGAGTGCCTAACCCCTACTACGTTTCAAATATCAACATGCAAAGAAAACTGCATGTGGAACCTACGGGAATCAAAGCAAAGGATGGATCCATACATACAGAACCTGATGAGCTGACACCGTATCGTACTTCATGAGAACTGAAAAAACTTAAGTCTACAGACTTGATCATACTTTTGCCAAGACGACTTAAATGGTCATCGGCAATAATGAAAATTCCGCTGTGCACGAGTCCATCGCAGCTCAAAGATAGGAATTGCAAACGGATGGTTATCTAACCTTGCAGTTACTTATCAGAACCCCCAGTAGATCTTTGGTGTACTGGTGTACTGTTGTGCATGCGGCGGACAACCTTACACAGGTATTTGATAATCCATGAACCTGATGCAGCTGTACCGCAGAGTGACGATGAAGAGGAGCATGGACTGGAGCAGCAGAGCCCACGGCGTGAGCCAGGGAAGGAAAAACAGAGACCACGGTCATTAACTGGAACGATTCAAACAGTGATATGATACTCTGACTCATGACACAAGGATATTTTTTTAATGAATCCGACTCCATCCGGTTAGGATCAGATTTTATCATCACCTTTTCAGAAAACCTTACAATTGCTTTCAAGTAAGACGGTGGCTGTGGCTTGATCAGCAGCTGTCTTTACAACTATCCATTTCATCAAGTGTTTAGGACACATAATTCAGACATACTGCTGTAGTAGCCACGTGCAGTGGAGATTACAAGACTTAGCTGACACCTGTGCACATATTCAATAATTGCTTGCCATACAGATCTTTCCGCATATCCAGAGAAAAGCCTACTACTAGCAAGAGTACATAACTACACGTGTAGTTATGTACTCTTGCTAGTAGGAACCCGCCGTGGCACGGGTTTACACAGTACAGTTGCAACTGTTATAGGTATAGGTATGATACCGTGAATAGCCGCCAAGACGCCTGCCAACCACCTTGTTCTTGCCTAGCTGCATTGAACTGTGCCATGCACCGCTCAGCACATCCTTTCTGTTCCTTATGTTGCTATTACCAATTTACCAGCTCGACCAATTTACCAGCAATGCATGTACCGATGCAGTCTGTTTTTCTTGCAAATTTTTCTGCTGTTTATAAAGTGCTGAACCAGAATGTCACGCTACACGCATGATCAGTGATGACCGGCTGCATTTGGCCTATTATCATCACCCATTTGCACGAAACCACCTCCCTACATGTGCTGCTGCTGCTGCTGTTGTTGTTGTTGTTGTTGTTGTTGTTGTTGTTGTTGCTGTTGCTGTTGTTGTTGTTGTTGTTGCTGTTGTTGTTGCTGTTGTTGCTGTTGCTGCTGCTGTTGCTGCTGCTGGTGGCAGTGGTGGTGCCGCTGCTGCTGGAATAGGCGTGGCATATGTGAGGGGTGATAGAGTGTATAGATGGGGGATGTTGGGTGTGTGTGTGGGGGGGGGGGGGGGGGGGGAGAGGCATGAGAAGGCATGTTTGAATCAATGTGTCGAGGTGCCATTTACGCGCTACAAAGAGGCTGGTTAGATGGAGCACAAGACTCGAGAGAGATTCCAGCACCATTACGTAAAACAAGCAACATAATTATGCAAAGGCTAATTGTTTTTAAACAATGAAAGGCAAGCAGAAAACACAGCAAGTGTGAGCAGAGACGAGGCGGAAGTATTGAACACAGGATACTATGGATATCAATCATATCATGCAACATAACCATGACAACATAACCATGATAATATTTCATAGCTGCTGCAAGACACAAGACATAAGACACAAGGGTGGACTGTTGTTACTTCTATTAACATTTTTTTTTCAGCCTTTTCGCATTGACATCACCAAGCAAGCATAGCTAGTCTTTGCTTAGGCCAAACGGAATGAAGAATGAGGAATGAGCAGGGTCAATGAGATGCTAATACGCATGCAACTGCAGAATAGGCAACAAAGAAAAAATTTTAAATATCAAAACACAGTCCTAAAACACACGAACTGTCAACTATTTACTTCAACAACCGGAAAGCTGCAGAGTACTATACTGTAAGTACGATACATGCACAGATTCTATTACCGGCATTGACCGGCATACACTGATTACTCCTGTTCGGTGATGTTCTAAAGGCAACACAAGTTCTGGCAAACTCCGGATACTTCAATGTACATGTATATTCACCTGCATCCCAACATCTTGAATGAATATGGAAGTTGGGTTGAGGTACCACTATTTTGCTGAGCTTTCAATAATCATGATGAGGTTTCAAATGGCTTGGGGTGAGTTCAAGTCGATGTTTGCTCAGCTATGCTCATTAAAACAAGCAACACACCATTCAACTAAAATGGTATAGGTAACATTTCCAACAGATGCAAAAGTTCATTGCTATAAAATAGAAATGCAGATGAAAATTCCAAGAGAAAGGTCAAACTACCCTAGCACACGTCGGTATGCTGAGCAAGCACAAAACACCACAATGGAAACAACGACGCGATGCTTCTGATGATGACAACAGGAACATTAGCATGCAGTGGCACATGTTCATTGTGTTACCAAGTTGTCAGGCCTAAGCTCGCCTAGCCAACACTGTGTAGCCAAGATCACTGGAGTTCGGTGTCATTCCGCCGGTTGCCACGGCAGCACCATGGTTGGTAGTGGCGTATGTGTTGTCGCCATGGTTATGCTGTGCACCCGGCACAACACTCGGCGGCTCGTTGAGATTGTCAAAGACGTCGGTCGCAGAGCTGGGTGCCATGTTGTCATGGATAATGGTGTCCCGGTTCATGACTTGAAACGGATCTCCTGTCTGCGGCTCGGATTTGCTCTGGCCCGTCGAACCTACAAGCTGAGGATTATCATAAACATTGAGCTCTGGTTGTGTGTTGATTGCATGGCCAGTGGCAACGTTGTACTCTGGACCGTCAGTGTCATCGTTGTTGATTAATGCGCCTGCAACGGGATTCCACTTCACACCACCAGCAGCAGCAGCCGGGCCCGTAGTTGATTGGTATGGGTTTGTTGGTGTGCCTGCAGCAGCAGCAGCAGCAGCCACCTGAAGACCAGTCGGATCGGAAGCCATGTCGTACAGCTGCTGGTTGTATATTGGACTGTCCTTCAATGGGGAAGCTTCTTCACTGGTCTGTGCTGCTGTGCCCATCCCTAGGACAGCATGATACTCTGGATTGTCCAGACCCAGTGACTGCTTGCGGTAGAAGACCTCTGGGGCATTGTCTGCTGGCTCGTACGTTACAGCCTGTTTACTATGACGCTTGAACACTATAACCATTGCGATTATGACAATGAGAAGAAAAGCTGCAGCACCGACTGAAACACCGACTACCAGGTTAGTGTTGCTGCTGCTGCTGCTGGATTGTGGCTCAGGATTGTCTCCATCCTTCCTCCGCTGCTCTTTCAGCAGTGCATCATAGTCCTCTGTGAGGGGAAAGACAGACAGACACACGCATGTATGGACCCATAGACGGATGCACGTACGGTTGCACATATGGATGCACCGAAGGCGCACGGACAGACGAACAGACATACATACGGACAGACAGGCAGACAGCCAGACAGACAGACAGACAGACGGGCAGACAGACAGATGGGCAGACAGACAGACAGACAGAGAAACAGACAGAGACACAGAGAGACAGACAGACAGATAGACAGACGGACAGAAAGACCGGACAGACAGACAGACAGACAGACAGAAAAGGATAGGGAGACATGCAGACATGCAGACATGCAGACATGCAGACATACAGACAGTCAGACAGACGGACAGACAGGAAAGGATAGGAAGACATGCAGCCATGCAGACACACAGACAGACAGACAGACAGACACACAGACAAGCAGACAGACAGACAGACAGGCAGACAGACAGAGAGACAGATAGACAGACAGACAGACAGACAGAAAGACAGACAGACATACATGCAAAAGGACAGACAGACAGACATACAGACAGACATGCAGACAGACATGCAGACAGTCAGACAGACAGACAGACAGACAGACGAGCAGACAGGAAGACAGGCAGACAGACAGACAGACAGGCAGGCAGACAGACAGGCAGGCAGACAGACAGACAGACAGACAGACAGACAGACAGACAGACAGACAGACAGATGAATGAAGTCTTAGCACCACCCAGTGAAAGGAGAAACAGCAGATTGATAGAGCACGTCCACCCTGCAACCCACCGTGCAACAAATCACTGCACTCGACTTGGTTGAACCATACCGTCCACAGCTCCAGTTCCCAAGGCTAAACAAGAGAGATGAGCTGCATGCCCCTGGGAAATATTATTAATATTTACACAGAATTCTCAAAATAGCTGTTAAGGTGACGGTTTGGACCAACCTGCTGTCATGTTGCAGAATTTCGATGCGAATCCAGGATTGCAGTTGCAGATGCCAGTCGTTTTGTTGCAAGGTCCAGCACTATTCTCCGTATCACAGTAATCGCACTGGAACTGGCAGTTGACACCATACCAGCCATCCTTACAGGCTAAGCCGACACAGATCATGGTACGTACACACACACACACACACACACACACACACACACACACACACACACACACACACACACACACACACACACACACACACACATACACATACACAGCACATTGATGGAGCACATCCACCCTGCAACCCATCGTGCAACAAATCACTGCACTCGACTTGATTGAACCATACCGTCCACGGCTACAGTTCCCAAGGCTAAACAAGACAGATGCACTGCATGCCCCTGGGGAATATTATCAATATTTACACAGAAATCTCAAAATAGCTGTTATGAACCAACCTGCTGTCATGTTGCAGAATTTCGATGCGAATCCAGGATTGCAGTTGCAGAAGCCAGTCGTTTTGTTGCAAGGTCCAGCACTATTCTCCGTATCACAGTAATCGCACTGGAACTGGCAGTTGACACCATACCAGCCATCCTTACAGGCTAAGCCGATGAAGATCATGGTATGTATACACACACACACACACACACACACACACACACACACACACACACACACACACACACACATACACACATACACACACACACACACACACACACACACACACACACACACACACACACACACATACACACATACACACACACACACACACACACACACACACACACACACACATACACATGCACAAAAAACAAACTTACCCACGCATAACAATCACTCATAATATAAAGAGGAATATATTTTAAGAAGGTGGTAAAACAGCGCAAAAAAAGAAAGAAAGAAGATAGCTAAAGTAAACAGTGTTCCTGTTCCTTTTCCCTTGCCTGTATTTCACCTGATGAGAAGGAATTTCCATGCATATTTCCCATGCACCACCGTCTGTAGTTGGTTTTGGTACACTGAACACAATACTATTAACGGTGTCCATGGTACCAAGCCCAACTGCAGTGTTAGTGTATTATGTTCAGTGTACAATCATTCTCTGTCAGCACCCATGCTTTGCTGGTATTGCCAAGCCTTGCTCTATACATGGTTCTTGTGTGTAAGGGGTGAGACCATCAACATTCATTGAATGAAGGATTTTGCATGCATGCGCAGAGATGATGCGTTCAGAATAGATTTCGAGCGTTCCACTACAACCTGCACAAGAGTATTTTGCCGCTTGTTTGAGTATGGCAATCTGAGACCAAGTTGCCCGGACCCAAGTACTTTTCTCATCCAGAAATAGCCGGGCTTGTGGGATAAAGGTGAGCAATGTAGCAGGATAGTTGATGCTGAGGCATGCAGTGGATTGCATGAGTCAAGAAACCCATAGTGGGACTGCAGAACAACTAGGCACGAAACTGACAGAGTACTGTGACTCGTATCCATATGTTCTTCCTTTCTCTATCTATTATTGGCTCAACATCCGAGTTTCAATAGTTGTTTATTTTTATTTTTCATTTTTACTTCGAAGTACAGTTATATTTTTCTGAGGAGGGATATACATGTAGGATACATGGATATACATGTAGGATACATCATACTGTACACATACAGACAGGCCTTGTTTTTAATAATCACACATATTTGCACATGTGCTGGAGGTAGAAGTGCTTCATTGACACACATAATTATTTGAAAAAATGAAAATGTCCGAATAGGTGTCGAGACTGGAGAACCGTGCGGAGAACGTGTTGCACTGTACCCAATGGTGTTCACTGTACGATTGCTAAACCCATGCTAGAGCAGTTGGTGAGGGAACCGAGTGATTAGGACTGGATACGTGAGGTCTGAATGTATGAGCGTGGTGTTTCTCACCTTCAGCACACCGTGACTCCAATGAGTAGCCGGGTACACAGTTACAGTTGCCACTGACATGATCACAGTTCTCTTGCACGTTGTTCCCACTGCATAACGGACACTTGCCAAGACATCCTGCTCCGTACAGACCACCAGGACACTCTGTGAGGAGGAGAGTGACGAGAGAAAACTGCAATGTAATGCCTTTCACAGCAGTACTGGTATACATATAGGGAACAACTGTAGTTCCTCCTTCTCCACATTGCGAGTTTGAGTTATACGTGCACTCAGATATTCTAGAAAAGACAAGAGCACGGCCGTCAAGCTTACTGTTGCTACACTTGGGTCCAGTCCATCCAGGCCCACACTGGCAGGCACCAGTGACTGAGTGACAGCTTCCATCATTGTCACAGTCACACCGGCCGTCACACTTTCCCACAACCGACCAACTGCCATCCGGGCATTTGCTACCACAGGTGCTTCCTGAATGTGGGAGGGAGAGAGAGAGAGAGAGAGAGAGAGAGAGAGAGAGAGAGAGAGAGAGAGAGAGAGAGAGAGAGAGAGAGACAGAGACAGAGAAAGACAGAGAGCATAGATATGCATGATGGTTGTTAACCACTGAGGAACAGTGAGTGCAGTGTTCAGGTCCACTGGTGGGAAGCCGGTACAGCTTATTCTTTTGAACACTCATATTCCAAACACTGCACTACATTTGAAGGACCTAAAGAGATGTGCAATGCAAGAAAGGATGATGGGGAAGTAAGAAGTATTGATGCCAGCAAGCCACTTACCGTGATACTGGGGGCTGCACTTGCAGTCTCCGTTAGTAGCATCACAGGTGACACTGTTGGCATGTACACACTCACAGTCATTCACACAGTCATAGCCCCACGTCTGCAGGATTGAACAGAAACGCAAGGGTATATTGTCAGCACAGCTTGTTAAAAAGGGGAAGTGCATCGATTTTTCAAGTCGGGTTCAGATGAAAGACAATTTGATAGCGGTTCGAATGGCGTATCTCTCGCTTGCACACGATAAGCCAAACTTGCCAAATCGCCAATTGTATGATCACAGTGCCATAGCGACCAGCGCAGTGATGACGCATGTTCTGCTTAGCTCCGCCAGAGAGAAGGTCGATCACTGCAGAATTTGGTCGTCTTATTTATTCACGGTGTGAAAGAAGTGCTGTGTTCAATGCTGTTAGTGCCGTGAACTGTTTATCATCCTTCTCCTGTATTTCCCTAGGCTAACTGTAGCCTAGGAAATCGTTCCTCTAGGAGAAGATGCTTGGTATTCGCCATCTCTCCTGAGAAAATTTCAGCAAACTTTCAAAAAATTACGACATTATTTCGTTCGTCAATCTCACCTGGCTTCAGAAGATGTTACGAGAGATAGGAGAGTCGCCAGCAAGCATCACATCCATATTCAGGAAGTGGAAAGAGGCAAACACCATGGTCCTTGGTTGGGGTACATGCTGAGCATCTGATTTGTCCCAACAATGATTTCAGCACTTGGTTCGTCACTATTTTCGCTTGTCTGCCAATGTCTCCGCACTCCAGGTTCTCCTATCGGTATCATGTCCCCGTACACAATGGAGAGGACTACTAAGAAACAGTTCACGGCACTAACAGCATTGAACACAGCACTTCTTTCACATCAAAGACAATTGAAAATGACAAAATTCTGCAGTGATCGACCTTCTCTCTCGCGGAGCTAAGCAGAATGTACGTCATCACTGCGCTGGTCACCATGGCACTGTGATCATACAATTGGCGATTTGGCAAGTTTGGATTATCGTATGCAAGCGAGAGATATGCCATTCAAACCGATATCAAATTGTCTTTCGTCTGAACCCGACTTGAAAAATCGATGCACTTCCCCTTTAAGTTATCATGGCATATGCATGTGTCGCATCCCCGGCTCACAGTGACCGGACCCCGAAATCACTAGATCTACGAGCGGCGACTGAATATAGACGTGTGGCCTCACGACAAGCCCAACACAACCCAGGGGCCAACCAATATAGCTGGCTTGGTCCAAGTTCAATCCCACACGATCAACAGACAAAGACTGTTAGTTTTACATTGTGAGTTGTATCAAATCCGAGCTCAAAGTAAACGAAGACAGAGAGCTGAGACCGAGTCTCGACTGCTAGACTAGACTAGACTAGACTAGACTAGACTAGACTAGACTAGAACTGAAGTAAAAGAGAGAATGAGAGCTTCTTTTATAGGGTGCTTCAGAGATATAATGGCGTGATCATGGCGAGGTAATTCCAGGAAATAGCAGAACAAGTCAAACCGGAATGTGCGCAGCCAGTCAGCAGAAATGCAGAATATACGTACGGTGATCATTCGAGAAGAAAGAGAAAGAAAGACATCGAGAGAAGAAAGACCAAATTGGGACGTGGGGAGCCCGCTCACCCACGTCAGAGTACAATGTGAGTATATGAGGGTCACGTTGGGGAGCCCGCTCACCCAACGTGCCATAGTTCAGCGGCTTCTTATGGTAAGTTCTGCTGCATTCTTGGTCTTGCTTGCGTGATACTCTGACCTCTTGCGCGGTGACGGTTTTGGTTCTTGCACACGTCTCCTGCCTTGCACCTAGCTCTTGATATACAATGTCATATTAGTCTTGGCTCTTTGCACGAAGCACCGAGGCATCGTGGAAACCTGTAGAACGTCGTAGTGACGTGGTTTTGCACAAAGCCTGGAGTCACATTTCCAGGAAGTGAAGAACTTCCAGGAAACGTACAACGCGAGAACCTACCTGACCAGGTTCCGGCCTTGGATGACATGATGTGTCATGCCAAGAAGGCATGTCACCTACGTGGGAAAGCGCGTGTCGCTCAACCTACATGCTAAGCACGTGGGACAAGACACTGGCCAAACCACGTTGTACTAAAAAGGGCGTGACAGCTCAGCACAGAGCTGCTCACTACGTAGATCCTGCTGTCACAAGACTATCAGGCAGCAGTTGTCTTATTCTGGGACGTGACACATGCAACACCCTGACACCCGCCCACTGCCCACATGATCCTTATGCACCGCCAACCACCCGCCCACCATGATGCCATTGACTGGTAATAACTGGTGCTGTAACCTCACGGCACAGTGCACAGCTAGCTCAAACCAATATGACGTGTACGCAGTAGAAATCTGATTAGAAGTATGAGTACCCCCTCTTTACTGGTACAGTTGATTTTTATACTTCGAAGTAGTTTACTGAATTCATACATGAGTTTGTCTGATGATATGTGCAATTCATTTGCCCATACAAGAGGCTTTCCTAAGGTGACTCACATCACACACTGTACTAAAGTACTCACGTCACACACTGTACTAAAGTACTCACGTCACACACTGTACTAAGTACTCACATCACACGCTGTACTATAGTACTCACATTACTACACGTCTCATTGCAGGATTTCCCAGTGTAGCCAGGAGCTGTGCAAGTGCACTTGCCAGTGAAACGGTCACACGTTGAAACGTCCGTCTTGCACGAACATCTCCGGCTGCAGTCTGGACCATGGAAACCTTTGCACAGGATAGGTATGAAGGTAACATATGCTTCATAACAGGTACTGGGTAGCAAGAGCACAGAAGGTCTTCACCATGGCGTAGCCTATTGTAGCAAGGTAACCTGCAGTGCAAATTCTCATTCTGGCTAACGGAGTATCAGTCTTAATCTATTCACCCATTTGTTTGTGCGGAGAAGTGACGGCATGCCAGTGACTGTAACTTGAGACCAACTCCCCATATGATATACATGTAGCTGCGGTGAGCCTAAGCTCTACCAATGGTGTTGTGAAGGGGCGTGGAGAGGGAGAGGGAAGAGGTACTAATACCAACTCTTGTTTCAGTCCATCCCACTTGCTTACGGGGCCCCAGAAAGGATGTTCCCAAAAAGACAGTTTTCTTTTTTCTGAAAGTCAGTGGGCTTGAACCCGGACCTTTGGGGTTCTGTCGCAAGGCAGAGGAAATACATGACCGATTGTGATTGTGCATTGAAGGGTTGTGTTGTACCTGCGCCTGCACGTGTTATCTCTTTGTCGTAGCTGCTGCTGTATTTGTGTCTCTGTGTGTACATGTGGCTGCACGTGTTGTCTCTTCGTCGTAGCTGCTGCTGTATTTGTGTCTCTGTGCTGCTGACCCGTACATGCTGCTGCGCTGCTTTGTTGCTGACCCGTACATGCTGCTGCGCTGCTTTGTTGTTGACACGTGCACCTTTTTGTGCTGAGTACACCACCTTTTGTGCTGATGAGGGCACCAATTTCTGATATCATGTTTTCCTTTTGCCATGTCAGTCGTCAGTTGTCCGACGGTCGTCGTGAGTTGTCAGACGTTCGTTGTCAGAGTCAGTTGTCCGACGTTCGTCGTCTGTGGTCCGACGGTCGTCGTCAGTCGTTAGACATTCGTTGTCAGAGTCAGACGTTCGTTGTCAGTCGTTCGTTGTCAGTGTTGGTTCTTCTTTATGAGTTCCCCAGTCGCCTACTGAAATGAGGTAGAAGAAAAAGCTCTCTAACAATTTGTACTGGCTCTCTGTTGTGTGGCGTGGCGAGGAGCGCAGAGGCAGTTCGTGCACGATTTCAAACCCGTGACGACATTTGGCGCCCAACTAATCGAACCCACGACCCTGAAGCTCGTCGCTCTCCTGCCGGTGTTTTTCGTTTTTCTCTTCGCGTTCTCGCCATGGCTCCGCTTTGCTGCGTCTGTTCAACCCTTTCCTAGATCCTCGGAGCTCCTACTCAGGTGAGCATGCCTTTGTAATTGTCTTCTCTGCGTAATGTGTTGCCGTACCTTGTATTCGATTTCGAATTTTCAAATAATTGTTTTGCGTCGGGTGACTCGGGTCCCGGCAGGAATTCCGTGGAACCTTGTTCTCTTGTGTTCGAGTGTGTACTCGTAGTGTAGTCTCAATTGCTGCTCGTTGGAAGTTCGCCCCGTTGTGTTAGTTGTGCTCTGACTACCCTGTACTGTACTGTTGTGTATGAAAATTTCAAACTTCTGTTCGTGCGCTACTCGTTCGAATCTGGAACTTGTGTTCGCATGTTCGTCGTGCATTCAGCATGGGTAGCTTTGATCTCGTCTTGTGTTGTGCACTTGTGCTTGTCACGGAGTTGCCGTCGGACTGCTCCGATAGTGTGACTGTGTCGCGTGATTTGTTTAGATGTCCACCTGAACGTTCTCGAGGTGCTGCCTCGTATGTAGTCGATCCATATTGTTTTGTTTCGTGTTTTTACCGTTTAGTAGTAGTTTCTCCATGTTCTGTGTACATGGTGTAGAGCGTTGTCAGGCTCGGTCATGCACTGTCAACAAAGTAGGAAAGCTGTTGGCTTCCGGTTTGGTGGGAGGTGTGAACTTCATGTAGGATTCTCGTTCTTGATCCAGGTTGAATTTTTTTGTGAGCGTGTGGTTTTGTAATAATTGTGTTTCGGCATGTGGGTTTCTCTAGTTCGCCTGGGTGGGCGTCTGATCATGGTGAGCCACGGTCTGCTTGGTGGTCTGCAGGGATCCTGCGCTTTTTTGTATCGGTTTGCCTTGCGGGTGTTATGGTTTCCGTGTGTTGCTGGCTGGCTCTTGTGCGTCCCAGTCGGTGCCGGACAGTTTTTTTTCTTCGGTTTTTCGGTTTTGTGAGCGGATGTACTATAAGTTCCGTGTTATTCAGGTTCGATCCCTGCGGGTTTTCAGGTTCAATCCCTGTGGTTTTTTTCAGGTTCAATCCCTGTGGTTTTTTTCAGGTTCAATCCCTGTGGGTTTTTTTCAGGTTAGAGACCTGTGGTTATTCAGGGTAGCGCCCTGTGGTTTTTCTTCATTATCTTTTGCGTATTGGTAACCGATTTGTTTGTGTGTCCTCAATGGTGTCCTCACTGATTAATTGCTCCTGTTTCAGTCGACGTGTTCTTCCTGGCTGTTCTTCCCTTCCTTCGTGTGCTTTTCTGATTTTTGGTGATGGCTGAGATGTTTGCGTCAGTCCTTCTCTCTTTCTGTGTGTGTCCTGTGATTCTCGGAGTGTTGTGTATGCATGTTAGTCATTATATATCTACTACACCGTTTGTTACTGTATTGCGCATGCTCGCATATGGTTGTTGTTGTTACTTTACCTGACCAAGAGGAATGGCTTCCGAATTGCTAGTGTTTGTGTGTGTCAGTGAGAATGCATGAGTGTGATGGAATGTTAGTCCGCAAGGGGACATAACAATTTGGCGACGAAGATAAAAGACGAAGATGTCGCGATCGAAGCTTGAAATATTTGAAAAAGGTGATTTTCGTGAGTATGTAGAGAGACTCACGTTTTATTTTATCGCCAACAGTATTGGACAAGTCGCAGCTGGGGCAACCGCGGACCAGGAGAGAGCGGCGGACACGCAAAAGGCAGCTGTCCTGATCAGTCAACTCTCTGCTGAGAACTACTCGATTCTGAAGAGTCTTTGCCTGCCGGACAAACCAGCGCAGAAAACGTTTGAGGAACTCGGAGAATTGCTTTCAGAGCACTTCAAGCCTAATGTCAGTGTGTTGGCGGCGACTCATAGATTCCAGAGGATTTGTCAAAAGGATGGAGAGTCAGCAACACAGTATGCAGCTAGACTAAAGCAAGCAGCCATGGACTGTAAGTTTCAGGCGTATTTGGACAGGGCACTCCGAGACCAGTTTGTCAGTGGGTTGAAGTCGATGAGTGTTACGAAGGAGATATTGTCGAAAGCAAAGGAGACCTCAAGTTTGGCGGACATTGTGATGATGGCATCAGCCTATGAAACTGCATCGAGAGAGTCGGAACAATTGACGGCGCAGTCCGTCCACGCCGTTCGTTCGCGCCAGTCGACGAGCAAGCCAACTCCAACTTTCAAGTCGCACGACAAGAAATGTTTTCGGTGTGACAAGGCTGGTCACAAACCGGAAGAGTGCCGCTTCAAGAGTGTGAAGTGTCACGCGTGTGGTACGGTGGGTCACATCGAGAGAGCTTGCCGCAAGAAGAAGTCTGGACAAACCGTCCATCACATCGCGGAAGAAATTGGTGAGTTCGTTCCATGTGCTAGTAAACCCGATGTCACCATGTATAGTGTAAATGCAATGGGGCGACTACCGTACACTGTGTCATTAGATGTAATGGGTACCACTATCCAAATGGAGATTGATACAGGAAGTGCTGTCACGATTCTCAGCAGCGCAGATTTCTTGCAATGCAATGGTGTGCTGAGTAACCTGATGGAATCCAGTATCAACCTTGTGTCCTACTCTGGAGATGTGATTAATTGTCTCGGGGAAGCGGAAATGGAGTTCCGAATGGGCACACAATTGCACACACTATTGGTGAGGGTTACAAATGGAAACCGTCCATCTATTCTGGGCAGAGATGCAATGGCTTTGTTCAAACTCCCCTGGAAATCAATTTTCGAAGTGCACCAGGTCGAAAAGTCTGGCGCTAAATTCATTGAGAAATACCCAGGGTTGTTCGACACCTCAGAAGTGGGAAAGGTGAAAGGCGTGCAGGTGAAATTGCATGTGTCTGATGAGAGCCCTGTTTACCGAAAGGCAAGGCCGGTGCCACTGTCAATTCGGGAGAGCTATGTTGAGGCTCTGAATAAATTGGAAGCAGATGGTATAATCGAGAAAGTCACGCATTCAGAATGGGCCTCCCCCACTGTCACGGTAGAGAAATCAGGAGGTGGGTTGAGAATCTGTGGTGACTACAGTGGCACTATCAATCTGCATTCTAAATGCGAGCAATACCCGCTACCCACTCTTGAGGAGCTATTGCACAAATTGGGCCCGGGGTCTAAATTCACGAAGCTGGATTTGTCGCAAGCCTACCACCAGCTAGAGATAGCACCTGAATGTCGGAAGTACACCACGATCAATACCATGCAGGGGTTGTATCAGTACAAACGACTCCCTTTTGGTTTTCACAGCGCCGTATCTATTTTCCAACGGGTAATGGAAGAAACCCTTAGCGATTTGCCAGGATGCGGGGGCTACATCGACGATGTGTTGTGTACTGGTCGTGATGAGGAGATCCATGAGAAAAATGTGGATCAAGTGCTATCTTGCCTAAATGAGAAAGGATTCAAGCTCAATCCTAAGAAGTTCAGCTACATGGCGGATAAGCTAACGTACCTCGGTCATCAGGTAACCGCGCAGGGAATCGCACCCTCGCCTGATCGAGTGAATGCCTTGAAAGTCGCAAAGCCGCCTAACAACGTGAATGAATTGTACTCTTTTCTGGGTGCGGCCAATTTTCAACGGAAATTTGTACCTCGGTTCGCAGAGATTGCTGCACCACTGTACAACCTGCTCAGGAAAGAAATGAAATGGCAATGGAGCAAGGCAGAGGAAGATGCATTCCAGGCCTTGAAAGATGCGATGTGTGAGCATACGCTATTAGCACACTACGATGTCAAGAAGCCAGTCACACTCCAGGTGGACGCTTCTCCAATGGGTCTAGGTGCCGTACTATTGCAAAGGCAAACGAATGGTGATGTTTTGCCGGTTGCTTACGTGTCAAGGAAATTGACACCGGCTGAATCGCGTTATGCACAAATCGAACGGGAAGCCGTAGCTGTGGTTTTCGGTGTTACGAAGTTCCAGAAATACTTGCTAGGGCGCCACTTCACGCTTCAAACCGACCATCAACCACTATTGAAGTTACTGGGAAACAACGAACCAGTTCCTACACTTGCATCAGCTCGCATCAAGAAATGGGCACTAATGCTAGCTGGCTATGATTATGAGATCAAGTATTTGCCAGGCAAGGAAAATGTCTACGCGGATTTCCTGTCTAGGCAACCATGTGAGAATATCAGTCCGTCTGCAGAGGAAATGGTTACGGTTCGTGTCTTGCTAGTGGAGGAAGATACGATAATCAAAGCAGACGTAGTGAAATCGGAAACAGCTCGTGACCCTGAGCTATCTAAGGTGCTCTACTATGTGGTGAATGGTTGGCCTAGCTCAGTACCCCAATCGTTTCGGTCTTACCACAATAAGAGGGATGAGCTGTCTGCGGAAGATGGTATCCTATTGTGGGGACAACGAGTTGTCATACCCAAATCACTAAGAATGGTATTGCTACGTGATTTGCACACGGAGCACTTTGGCATGGTCAAAACCAAGCAAATGGCACGACGGTACTTATGGTGGCCAAATGTGGATCAAGAGATTGAAATGTTGGTCAAGGCATGTGCTCAATGCCAAGAAAGTGCGAAATGTCCACCTGCCAAGTCGGGAACCTGGTCATGGCCAAACGGTCCTTGGAAACGGGTGCATATCGACTTTGCAGGACCATTCATGGGCAAGATGTTCCTGGTTGTGGTGGATGCATACACAAAGTATCTGGATGTAATTGCAATGTCTAATGCCACGTCTGCAACCACTATTGCGGCTCTGCGGCACGTGTTCTCTGTGTTTGGTCTGCCGGAGCATCTTGTTTCAGATAATGGAACCCAATTCACGAGCGAGGAATTCAAGGCTTTCCTCCGTGCCAACGACATTGTGCACACCCTGACGGCTCCAGGCCATCCGGCTACGAATGGACTTGCTGAGCGCTATGTGGGTGTGTTTAAGCAGAAGTTGAAGGAAATGGGTGCAACGAGCGAACCACTGCAAGCTCGGCTCGACAGGTTTCTGCTAACGTACCGCACGACACCCAACCATGCCGGCAGAACACCGGCGGAGATGATGTTTGGACGCCAGCCACGCACGCGGCTCAGTGCTCTGCGTCCCTCGCAGGTACGTCAACAAGCAAAGGCTTATGAGGACGGCAATCGCGTCAAGCCAGCGTTCACAGAGAGTGACTCTGTGTTTGCGCTGAATTTCGGCAAAGGTAATCGTTGGGTCCCGGGACGAATTGTGCGTGTCCTCAGTGACTACAACTATGAAGTACAAGTGGGTGATGTGTTGTGGAAGCGTCACCGAGATCAGTTGCGTCTACGGTCAGTTCCGGCAAGCTTGAGTGCATCGCTGCCAGAACCACTGTTGGATACAATCGATCAGACGTCACCGTCACCAGTGCTGTCAGACGTAGGAGAGTCGTCACTGGTCAGTGATTTTCCGGCTAGCGTCTCGCCACAGTCTGCTACTGTACAAGTTGAGGCGGATCCTCCTTGTGAGCAGTCTGCTCCTGAAGTTGGTTTACCACAGGTCGAGAATACTCCCTGTGAAACCACTGTTAGACGTTCGTCTCGGCGTAGTGTTCGTCCGGATAGACTGATTGAACAGCTTTGAGCCTTTCCCTGATGTCATTGCTGGACTGTTTAGCGAACTAGTAATTATTACCATGTACAATAGTGTGCAAGATCCTTGGTATTGCTAATATTGACTGACGGATTCCTGCGTCAGATTATGTTATTGTAGTGCTGTGTCAAAGTTTAAGAATTCACGTACGGTGGATTGATGAACTTATTTTATGTGTTGCTTCAACGATTTTGAGGTATTTAATTGTGGTAGAATATTCCCTGGAACATTCTTGAAAGGGGGCAGTTGTTGTGTATGCATGTTAGTCATTATATATCTACTACACCGTTTGTTACTGTATTGCGCATGCTCGCATATGGTTGTTGTTGTTACTTTACCTGACCAAGAGGAATGGCTTCCGAATTGCTAGTGTTTGTGTGTGTCAGTGAGAATGCATGAGTGTGATGGAATGTTAGTCCGCAAGGGGACATAACACGGAGTTTCTGTAGCGCCATCGGTTTTCGGACAGCCGGCCAGTGTGCGTCCTGCTGCCCCAGTCTTCTTCTCGGCCGGTGCGTGCTGTTGGTCTCGCCGCTCCTGGAAGCGTCGCTGGGTCCGTCGGCATAACCTGTTTTCTCATGCATTTGTACTTTTGTTTTGTCATGACTGGTGGATGGGTGGCGTACTAGGTTGGTGGTGTTCTAAGAATAAAAGATCCAAAGGGACAAACACAGGTCGAACAGCTCGCCAGCCGGGGTCCTCTGCAAAATCTGTTGCTTGCAGGTTCCGTTGATTGGTGCACAGTTTTGCGGGGCTCCCGACTGGTGTTAACCCTCCTGGCCTACTCGTCATGCGTTCAACAGTTGTGGCCCACCTCTTTTGTGTTTTATTGTCGCCTGTTTATGTTGCTTCATATTTCATTTCCCCTGTCTTTCTGTCTTCTTCTCCGGTCTGTCTTCTTCCGTTTTTTATACACTTCACTTTTGCTTCCATCCACAGGAGTGGATGTCTTTTTTTGGTAGGGGATAGTGTTGTACCTGCGCCTGCACGTGTTATCTCTTCGTCGTAGCTGCTGCTGTATTTGTGTCTCTGTGTGTACATGTGGCTGCACGTGTTGTCTCTTCGTCGTAGCTGCTGCTGTATTTGTGTCTCTGTGCTGCTGACCCGTACATGCTGCTGCGCTGCTTTGTTGCTGACCCGTACATGCTGCTGCGCTGCTTTGTTGTTGACACGTGCACCTTTTTGTGCTGAGTACACCACCTTTTGTGCTGACGAGGGCACCAATTTCTGATATCATGTTTTCCTTTTGCCATGTCAGTCGTCAGTTGTCCGACGGTCGTCGTGAGTTGTCAGACGTTCGTTGTCAGAGTCAGTTGTCCGACGTTCGTCGTCTGTGGTCCGACGGTCGTCGTCAGTCGTTAGACATTCGTTGTCAGAGTCAGACGTTCGTTGTCAGTCGTTCGTTGTCAGTGTTGGTTCTTCTTTATGAGTTCCCCAGTCGCCTCCTGAAATGAGGTAGAAGAAAAAGCTCTCTAACAATTTGTACTGGCTCTCTGTTGTGTGGCGTGGCGAGGAGCGCAGAGGCAGTTCGTGCACGATTTCAAACCCGTGACGACAGTTGTAAGCACTTGGCCAAGCATGCACACCAGTGAACATTACCCCGGGAGGCTATACGGACAAGTGTAGACCACATACTCATGCAGCCTAAGTCCACACAGCATGTCTGTAAAGACCACACTGCATCTCCGCGAGCAATACAAAGATTCAAAGAACCATGCAAGTAACTACACGCGGATAAAAGCATGCTCGGTATGTTTCCACCACCACCACTCTCAAACTTCTCACCTGTAATACAATAGTCAGCGCACACCGGACCCGTCCAACCACTGGTGCACTGGCACGTGCCATCCACCTTGTCACAGCTGCCACCGTTCTGGCAAGGGCATGTGTTGGCACAGTCTTGGCCAAACGAACCCTTTAGACAAGGGTCATTACACGACACACCTGCACAATGGATTGACGTTACACGGAAAAGAAAAGTAGAGAACTCAGTGAACAAGCCGTCTGTCAGATCAATGTATGGATGCATGCGTAGCAGTGCAGAGCAAGGCACAATGTCAAGAGCACAGCAAGGTCAAATCCATGCAGTCTATGGACGATGGGTGCTGCACCTTTGCAAATCATGCAGCACACGCTCTACTCGTCCGCATGAGAACAGTTTCTACAAGTGAAGCGCTCTCAGTAATCTGTTGTGCAATATTTTCCAGGCGTTGAGTGCACGTCTCATTGAGAGTCCACCGTACTGTCCACCGTACTGTATGCATGGTCTTGACATAAAATGACAAAATAAGCTGTCATGCTCAGTAAACTGGATTTAACCAATTAAAACTGTTAGGTACCCCCTCCCGTACCTTTTCTAGCTGGCCTGCATGCACTTGCGTACTCACCTTTTGTCTCCTTTTGTTCCGTTGGCCTGGGTAGCTACTTGCGCGTCCATATTTACCATAGCTACCCAGGCCCTTTATCTTGCCGTTCAGACTTGATCTCATTCTCTCTTTTCTCACTCTTCAATGTAGTCGTTTCGTTCGTCTTGGTCTCTTGTCTCGTCGTCTATAATAAATGTCGTTCCCCCAACCTACCTGTTCCCGTTGTAATGTCTGGATAATGTGTCGTCAGTCGTCCTTTCTCGTATTCAACTTAGGCGCCCGATTATTGATCGACCCACGACCCTGAGATAATTCCATGCCCAGCCGTCCTCAACCGCCATTCGTCTCGTCTATGTCAACCTCATCTCGTCCATGTCAGTCTCGTCTCTCCTACGCCAACCTCGTCACGTCTCTATCAACCTCGTCTCTCCTACGCCAACCTCGTCTAGTCTCGTTCAAGCCATGCAGGTCAGCTACCTTTCTCTCTCTCTTTTTTTTGTATGCGTTCCTTCTTCGTCAAATTTATTTTCGTGAATTTTTTTGTAGTGTGTGCGCGCGTGTATTCATAAAACATTACCAAGTTAGGGGTCCGATCATGGTGAGCCACGCTCTAATTTTTGGATGTTTAGCAAAAGTGTAACTAGGCTGTATTAGCCGTGCAAAATACTAGTAATTCACCTTCCTCGTCAAACTCCATTAGTTATTACATACTATAAGTAGTACAGGAATGATCTATAGTGCAATTTTAGTACACACTTTTGTGAGGTCCGTGCGCGCGTGCAACATGTGTGTGTGTGTGTGTTTTTTTCTCTGTCAGTCATTTTTTTTAAATCTTTTTCTCTCTTTTTTTTCTCTCCGCGAGGACGCGGGATTTTTTTTCATGGAGGGGTGGTATGTTAGGTACCCCCTCCCGTACCTTTTCTAGCTGGCCTGCATGCACTTGCGTACTCACCTTTTGTCTCCTTTTGTTCCGTTGGCCTGGGTAGCTACTTGCGCGTCCATATTTACCATAGCTACCCAGGCCCTTTATCTTGCCGTTCAGACTTGATCTCATTCTCTCTTTTCTCACTCTTCAATGTAGTCGTTTCGTTCGTCTTGGTCTCTTGTCTCGTCGTCTATAATAAATGTCGTTCCCCCAACCTACCTGTTCCCGTTGTAATGTCTGGATAATGTGTCGTCAGTCGTCCTTTCTCGTATTCAACAAAACCAAAGCAGGACTTTCAGCTTGAACTTAAGGATCTCTTGGCAGCTGTCGGAGCTTTTTCTCACCTCTCCATCCAGGCTTGCATGAACACGTTCCATCAAACTTGTCACAGCGTGCACCATTACGACAATCACATGCCATGGAACAGTTGATGCCATGGTAACCAGGCGGGCATGCTTGACTGCACGTGACTCCAGTGTATCCAGCAGTACAGTTACAACTACCATCAACATGACTGCATGCCGCTCCATTACGACATTGACACGCGTTTGCACAGTCTGTACCGTATGATCCACTGGCACATTGCTGACTGCAATCCATCCCAGTCCAGCCTGAAACATACAAGAAATCCCAATGCAAGTAACGGTTGAAGTTAAACTCAGCAAATCAGATTTAAAAAAAAATGCCAACTACAAGCTACTTTTGTCGAATCTTCAATTCACAATCATCGGGAAACTAAGCCGGCTATACCAGCATGTACATACACAGTACGTCACAGTATCAGTGTCCATACCTGTGTAACATGTACACGTGCCATCAACATGACTGCAGTTGGTAGCATAGGTGCAGTTGCAGTCATTCACACACAGCTGACCATAGGTGCCATCGGGACACTGCTGGGAACAGCTGTAGCAACACGAGGGCAAGAAAAAACACTACTATGAAGTTCTAAACACAATCCGGATAGGATATGTAACTCCGTGGAGTATGTGTGGTATCGTTCATCTCCACTTTCCTGTTGTGTAGAGCACACTTTCTAATGCATACAGGCAACTCGTAACAAGATGCCCAAAGAGAGTATGCTATTATGTCTTGGTGTCAACTTGTGTCAAAAGTAGGCCCTGCATGAGTAGCATTCTGTTTCTTCTTCATGCAATGAAGTGGAAGTAAATGTCTACAAACGCAGCAGAGCAGTATTGACCATACAGACAACAGAGCAGTGTTGACCATACAGACAACAGAGCAGTGTTGACCATACAGACAACAGAGCAGTGTTGACCATACAGACAACAGAGCAGTGTTGACCATACAGACAGCAGAGCAGTGTTGACCATACAGACAGCAGAGCAGTATTGACCATACAGACAACAGAGCAGTGTTGACCATACAGACAACAGAGCAGTGTTGACCATACAGACAACAGAGCAGTGTTGACCATACAGACAACAGAGCAGTGTTGACCATACAGACAACAGAGCAGTGTTGACCATACAGACAACAGAGCAGTGTTGACTATACAGACAACAGAGCAGTGTTGACCATACAGACAACAGAGCAGTGTTGACCATACAGACAACAGAGCAGTGTTGACCATACAGACAACAGAGCAGTGTTGACTATACAGACAACAGAGCAGTGTTGACCATACAGACATCAGAGCAGTGTTGACTTACTCTGTATCATTGTACCCGGCGGTACATGTACAGGTGCCGTCGACATGATTACATAACCCGTTGTTCTGACAGGTGCACGTTGACTGACAATCTGCGCCGTACGTTCCTACTTTGCACTTGTCCGCGCATCTGGACAAGCAGAAAGATGCATTCGGATTGCACAAGAGAGCTTTGTGGGGTAATGGCATAGATCTCCAAGACCAAGTTCTCCCATGCACACGCACAACTATTACGCATTGGACATACGTTAGGTTCTACTTTGAGCATGGTGAATACTTCGAAGTACCTGTATACAAGCACACACAATTTTTACTCAACTTCCTGCAGATTTCTGTGACATCATAGGTGCTTACGTTAGTCCCCTGTAGCCAGGAGCACACAGGCATGTTCCATCGGTCGGGAGGCATGTCGCCCCGTTCTGGCACTTGCACGTCTGCGTGCAGTAGGCACCAAACAGACCGCCTTTGCATGGCATAGCACAGCTGAGAATCAGCACACCGTCAGCAGACGAATAGAAATCGCACACACACACACACACACACACACACACACACACACACACACACACACACACACACACACACACACACACACACACACACACACACACACACACACACAATACACACACACAGGCTTCAGTACTTGTATCACTCTACACGTTTCAAATGGACATCGTACTACCTTCAGCAGCTATCACATCACGTGTACATGTATTCCTGTCTCGATGATTAGTGAGACGAACAGTCCAGGTTATTTATACAATATCAGGGTTTTAGCTATAGGGAGCAAGAAGGGACCCCCCCTCTCCCCCTGTGAAAAAGTACCGGCCCTGCTCACGTTTCGATTTTTGTGTTTTGCTTTCCGTTGGGGGGGGGGGGGGCAATGGAAATCCGGCCACAAGTCGACCATTCCGGGTGTATGATGCACACGAACCTTGCATTTTGTGTGGCAAGGCAAAATAGACCCTTTGCACAATAAGCGAGACGGGTCGAGACGGGGCATCCTGTGCACGCGCTGCACACTTGGCATGCAACCAGCATGCATGGTTGCTGCAGGACGTTATCAAGTTTCCTGTGCCAGGCTGTGTTTTCACAGTCCAGACGCGATGTTCATGTATGTACTTCCCAGCCTTTTTCATTTGAAGTTTTTTTAGTTCTGAAGGAAGAAGTTCCGAAATGCTTTCCAAGGACCACTGTTGGGTTCTTGTTTGCAGCAACCGTCATCCCTAGCGGCTAGTCTAAGAAACCCACTTGTCTTTCCATGCATTCCCTGGTTATACTGGCATTCCATACTCTTGAATCCTGGCTATCTGGCGAGAAGAGGGCCGCAGTTTGCTGCAACATCGTCACAGTGTTGTGCTCGGAACACTTTGTCGATGACGACTTTCATCCTTGCTTTTGCGAAGACGCTGAACGCCCTGCCAAGAGACTCTGGAGCTTGAAAAAAAGGCATGACCCATCCCTGTCTTTGCAAGGAAGATCGACTGCTTGCTGGCGCTGCTCGAGCTGCTGATGTTGAAGTGCAGAGAGACGCAGCCTCATCGCTCAGGTGTGCGGAGAAAGTCATCTGAGTTCGAGCTGTGACTGTGTGCACGATATGACAGACTTTCACATTATGCACATAGCCGCCAAAGTAAAACTCATGGACACTATCCACGGGCTTCTTCACTAGTACTACTCCATCAGCTCCCTCTTCACTGTCGTCGTCGACTTGCCCCTGCGTTGGAGATGAGCACGCATGGTGTGGCACTCACTCTGGGAAACAGAAGTTCATCACTCATCCACTCGGACGCATGACATGTTGAGCATGATTAAGGTACACTCGAGGAAGACAGGGGCCCCTAATAGTTCTAGGAGCATCAGGGTTCTGGATAGAGAAGCGTTCTCTACATCGACAGAGGAGAGAAGGTAGAGAAAAGAAAAATAAATTTCAATCTACGGTAATCCGAAATATCCACTGAATGCGGAAAACTTACCGCTCCAATAACTCCTTCTTTTTCCAGACAGATACGCACCCTAATTCAGCAGAAAACTGTCCAGTTCCTTCACAGACCATTCTTTATTTGACAGCTCGTCCACGGGTTCCACAACCATCGATGGCAAACCGCTCGACACTCTCTCCTCCATCTCCAAAATGGAAAATACAGTGTTTCACCATGCTCAACAACTGATACTCTGCACAAAAATCGAAGAGGATGCCCCGTCTCGGATCACGTGACCGTTATTGTGCAAAGGGTCTATTGGAAAAAAAAGGCTACATGTTTCCCCACCCCACCCCTTACCATGTTTGCCAGCTAGAATCCTGATTATTGTTGCTACTCTCAGTTTCTTGCGCATCATGGTAATCATCAGCTACTAAACGGATAGCAACACAATGACGTATATGTGACTTGGACCGTTATTCTGTCTGATAGTGTCACTGCTGCACAGGTCCTTGTATATGCTGTGCACTTTGTGTGTGCGTGTGTGTGTGGGTGTGTGTGTGTGTGTGTCAAGGTCTTCTCCACTTTTAATGCAATTTCTCAAGCTGTTCGACGAGCACATACATGTACAATTGTACATACATACATACATACATACATACATACATACATACATGCACACATACATACTTCGAAGTACATACATAGCACTTTGAAACCATCAATCTCCATTCAGACATTCATCATGCACTCACCTAGAACCAGTGTATCCAGCAAAGCAACGACATGATCCGTCTTGATGGTGACAAGTTCCGTTCTGACAATTGCATGTCGATATACATCCGTGCCCAAATGTCCCAGGAGGACACTTAAGCTCACAGCTAGAGGAGTACGATGCAATGGAACATCAAACACAGGAAGGCAAGGCTCATGGATCGTGTACTGACATTGCGGTATGTGGAACAGACGGAACCAGAAACCGAGAGCCGAGGAACATGATTATGTGATTGTCAAAACAGGAATAAAATCAGCTGCATCATGAGCATATTATCATGAGTATACTGTCATCATGTGAGTACACGTTCATGATTCTGTACATTCTGGTCTTTGACATCACTCTGGAAATCATGACTAGTGCTAGTGGAACGTTGGATTGGACACCACAACCATCATACTAACCAGCAGTTTACCCTGCATTATGTCATGTAGCTGAGCACCATACTGGACGGCCACCAAGCCCTAGCAGGATATCCCCTCGTCTTGCCAGCTAAGTGACTGACAGCGTCCAGGCTTATACCACACATCTCAAAAAAAATTGATTACTTCATAGCCCTCTTTTTTTTTCCAAATCCTATATCTTGATTCTACTCTCATGTGCATTTTCATCTTTGCTTAAAAAATAATTTCAGATGCTTAAAAACAAGAAATGTGCAAAGCGGCTTTCAGAAGACGGGGAATATAGATTTCCACACTGAGGGTTTCTTTCTTAGCAGGGGGTCTCATGTCACCTACCTCGCACCAACGTATCCCGTCAGACATGTGCAGAGTCCGTTCATGGAGTTGCAAGTACCGTTGTTTATGCAGGTGCAGTTGTATCGGCAGTAACTGCCATACTTGTCTGCCGGGCATGGTGTCTCACATCTGTACTCATCACAACAATAGCAAAGACAAGCCATTGCTAAGCACACCGTGTATGATCAATTTCATAAACAATTACACAAGCAATCCTACCACCACATTGGCCCATGCACTACAGCATCATACAAATAGAATCATCAGTGTTTCATCACCGATGTAAAATTCAGGTAAGTTTGGGCCCAAACTACTGCGCAACACGTGCCAACATGATTGAACCCCATGCTATGCAAACTGCATTGTAGAAAGACTCAAGTAAGAAGCCGGCTGTATGCAAGACTGTGGAGCGCTCGGGTTGCAATGAAGCCGAGACCCTATGGTCGGCAAAGCTGCCTCTGCCTCTCTCTCTCTCACACACCTGCCATTCCATATGTCACATTGCCGCCTTGTGCCGTCACATGGCGTGTGTGTTTTTTTTGTAAAAAAAGGAAAAAGATAAAAGATCTGCAGACACCACTGACCTTGCTCCCATGAAACCAGGTGTGCACACACAGGCTCCAGTGCTTGCAGTGCATGCTGCATTGTTGAGACATGTGCAGTTCTGGGCACAACCCACACCCCACATGCCAGTCGGGCAGGCAGCCGAACAGCTGTGCAAGCAGAAGTCATCGATCATCGCATACAAACACACGTGTACAACCATACATATGGACATACAGGCAGAATTGGACATACATACATACTTTGAAGTACATGCACACACACACATACACACACACACACACACACACACACACACACACACACACACATACACACACACACACACACACACACACACACACATACACACAGAGTCATACCATCAGAATTTATCGCCCTTGTACCAGTGTAAGTACATGCAAAGTAAGAAGCAAGCTTCACTGGACAGCTTCCTTCCTTCTGGCCCCCTTGCCACATACATGTGCATAATGTACGTGTAGGAGAGGTCCGTTAGCAGCTCAGTCGTGTTGGATGAAAAAAGGATTTGTGAAAGCAGGAAGCAGTTTGGCAAGCAGGCTGCTAACATGTACACGTGCGGGTACACTAGGTCAGGTGGATATACACGTACACACATGTGGGTACAATAGGCGAGGTGGACATGTATACATGTAAGGGAACATACCCAAGGCGGGCTAGCCATACAAGCAAACTTACTCGACTCCAGTCCAGCCGGCCGTACATGCACACTTGCCAGTGACATAGTCGCATGTCGCGCCGTTCTTGCAGGCGCACACACCAGCACAACCATCGCCGTACGTGCCTGGACGGCACTTCTGACCACAGCTGCAGAAGCACAATAACAATAATTATACATGATTGTACAAGTATCCATTAGTTGAGGGAGTTCAAAAGGGAAAAGTCTGAAGAAAAACATTGACTTTAACCACCAGGACTCAAACCAGAGACGTTCACTTGAGGCCAGCATGTACATATACATGTCGAGATGAATATGAATATGATCATGGCTGGTGCCAAACCCTAAACTAAACGCATCACATCCATGTCACATTCCCATCTTTGAACGTCAATGCTCTGCAGGACGGCAATGAAAAGCTAGCCTGGAGGCGGCATTCATGAGTCATGGAGGAAACGGTCTAACGAGTCTCAACCGAACTGTAAATTATTTTTTACATGTTTTGTCACGCGGTGCCGAGCCTCCAACTAGAGACCACCTGTAACTAATGAATGCCTTTTTGACCTCATAGGATGTTCGTTCATTGCAGGTTGAGCTGCACGAGCATACATTAAAAGCATAGCCTCTCGTTCAAGCTCAAGGAAATTGAACTTCAGCCATTCAGTGGGTAGATTGGTAAAGCAGCTATGATAAAGCCGATTGTGTTATTCGATCTGGATTTCGATTTAGATCAGAACAACATTCTTTAGATGTAGTTGTTATGATCTTAGGTAGCAAGCAGCTGCACCGTCTTTGA